TAATAATTTTTTAAATAAACAAAATATAAATAAGAAAAAAGAGAGTGACATATATCACATTTATTTAAATAAAAAATATCTGATTAAACCTTATGAAATAAATTTTCTACTCATTTTTACTAAAATTCAATGATAAATTACATTTTGATGAAAAAATAAACAAACATACACATAAACAATTATGTTTTAATCGATTAAACCAAAATATATATGAAAAGAGAGAAAATAAACATTTGACATTCAATTACCTTTGAAAAATAAACTATATTACTTTATTTTTGTTGCAATGAAACACTCTCTTATTCGTACAATATATATCTATAAAATAAAACAATATTATTTAGCAAAATCTCAGAGTATAATCTTGATCGAGTAGTTACAGTTATTTATTTAAAAATTTCTTATTCATTCAGATCATGTTCTACCTTAAATTCCTCAAATGAAGAGGAATCGCATGTGCAATAATATGATAATGTGACCCAAGTTCACATTAACAATATTTGCTCTATATCATGTTGATTGAGCAAGCTCTATTGAGGTTCTAAGTCGTATGCAAAGAAATTTTCTTTCAGACTTGGAGTTATCTTCGACGATTATAAATCAAAATTTTCAAAATGACTTAAGTATGATTGTTGACGAACTTTGACTTCATACCCTAGGATGAGACACAAGATTCCTTGAAAAATAATAGATGTGAAGGTTAGAAAAATCTTTGTTCAGAATCTACGATAAACATCACATTTCATCAACTACTAACATAGGCATTTACCAAATAAAGGTTTGCAATTTTTAGTAAGATCGTCAATTGGGATAAACATATTTATCCAGCAAGCAAGTATTTTTATCCAATAATATCAACTCTCAAAATTGGTTTTCAGTTCGTCTAGACTCGAGAAAAACGAATTAATATATGTTGTATAAGATAATAAGTTAATGCAAATAATCAAATGAAATACACTGATATTGTTCAAATGATAAGACATTTTAAATGCACTTAAAATATGTGTGTATTGGAGACACTCTTTATTAATTATTAATATATAAGCGATGAAATCTTTGAAAATTACACATTCAACGACCATGTTAAGACCAAAAATAAGCGCTAAAATCTTTATAAACTTCAAAAATTAACAATTGATACATATTATATAATATACTAAATTTAAGTGTCTGGATAAAAAACAAACATCCAAAATGGAAATGAGTCAAGATTAGAGAATTTAGTCATCATGAGGGATACAGTGTGTGTCAAGTTTCAATATGGATGAATAAATCCAATAATGAAGTATCTTTACTAAGAATTTCTCACTAAAAAGTCGTAAGTTTTACAACATTGGTCGAGAGTTCGTCCAAACTCGAGGATCATGAATGTGTATTGGATTTCCAAAGGACCTAAAATCCCAATCCCTTTCGAGGGCTAAGTACCTCTGATCACAACCATAGGTGCTAAAGTAGAATGAAAAAGAAGCCAAAAAAGCAAAAAAGAACATAACCTCCGATAAGATGAACATAATAAAACCATATCGAGCTATGATCCTGTCATCCCTACCTTTTTATTCTCCATAAAGAGGTCAGCGGGAGAGGATAAGAAATAAGTAGTAGGATCTTAGTATTTGCCTCTTTATGTATATTATATATCGAACAATAGACAACCCCAATGGTTCTCTGGCGTTATGGGGGTAAAAGCGAGATCTATATATATATATATATATATATATATATATATATATATATATATATATATATATGTAATATCAAGGTATACTATACTTTTTATTTAACTCAAGATACGATAGAAGATAGGTATTACGAAGTATGTGCATAAATTAGAGGTTACAGAATTAGGGACTAGAGTTTACCTATTAGAGGCTAGGATATAGTATAATGCCCCAAAAAAAAATCCGGTTAATTCGGGTCTAAATAGTAAAACTCAATGGTCGTATGGTAGTATGAACGCAAGAATATAACGTACTCCCGGCGCACGCTAGCTTGAACTAATATATGTGTGTGTGGTTTAGGTTGGCGTACGCTAAATATTAGTGTTTTGGTTGACAAATTTTGACATAAGTTCTAAATGGACGTGACAGCGACATAATTTATGATTCGAAAACCGAAGCATCACAAGTGAGTGTGCTTAATATTGGAAATTTCAATATAGATATACTACAAACTCTGTTACAAAATATTTAGAAGATCCAAAACGATTTAAACATATAAATTATAAAATAAATCTCTCCGGCCAACGGGCCGGGTAAAAAGCTAGTATATATATAGGTGGCTACTTCAGCGCACTCACTTTTTTGGGTGCACCCACTCTAAAAGTGTCCATAATACATCAAATTTTGAACTTTAATTAGTACTGTCAATCTAATATGATGATATGACATAGAATCATAACAAATCAATCTATTACCCTAACCCCTTAACCTTCAATTTTGAATCTCAACCCAAAATCCCAAATTGTAAACCTAAACCCTAACCCTAAATTCCTAAATCCTTCGAATTAAAGTAAAATTTGAATGAATTTTTTTCAAATTCATGTGCTTCTTTTTCATAATATCATAAGCAACAATTGATACCGTTTTGACATGAATCTCGTGCTCAGAATGACAATTATGAGGCGGGTACACTGAGTACACCCAAAAAAGTAAGTGCACAGAATACACCACCATATATATATATATATATATTAATGACCATGTTAGTTTGTCATTCACGTTGCTGGAAAATTGAAGAGTATCTGATGGTTGATTGGTAGTTCATTTACAATTACTAGATTGTACCCCGGTCCGTTGACCAATACTTATATGATAATAAAAAATTATGAGTTTAAATTTCAGTAATATGTTCTTCTCTTAAATCCATGTCATGTTATATGTCACTGTCATGTGAATTAACAAATAGTCTTATCCATTTTACAAAATAGCAAGGTAGTTTGTTATGGAATGTTTGCCCTAAGAGATGCTTTGCAATGGTGCTTGACCTATGGCTTTGTTTTTGTCAAATTTCATGGGGACTCAGAACAATTGATACGACGGATGGCGGGGGATTATTTTGCTCATGATCGGAGTGGAGGTGTGCTCGAAGATGCTCGGGTCCTAGCTTCCCAATTCAGTTGGATTTCTTTCTGCTTTGTTTCTCGTCGACTTAATAGGGCTGCCCATCATGTGGCACAAAAAGCCCTCTCATCGGGAGTTCGACTATTGGTCGACTCCCGCGCTTTATTTATTTCCTCTGTATGACTGAACTTTTACCCTGACTTTGCCAAAAAAAAATAACAAAGGTTTCTAGTTCAAATTTCAAAAATCTTTCTCTCCTCTTATATTTGTGCCATGATTATATGTCAATATGTCATGTCAATTAACAAAAAATGGTAAATTTAACAACATAGCAATGTAGTTTCTTAGTTTTTACTATTAAGAAAGACAAATTATTCAATCGTTGATAAGAACATCCATCGTAGATAATACTACATTGTAATCATCGTCTTCTATGTAGATTTTGGTTGAAATTAAAACAATAGAACTCATGCAAGGAAATATCAACTCATGCTAAACTTAAATACACAATATTATAGGTATTCCAAAATGATTGATTTCAATTCTTTACCATAAAGATACTCCATCATCAACTGACATTGAATGAATAGTCTTTTCTCAAGAAACCATTAGGAGTTTAATCTCATTTTTATCATAATAATAATCAAAATAAAAAAAATTAAGTTTCATTTTTTAGTTTCAACATAATAAGAAAGATTTTTTAATATCTTAAGAATGTTACCTTTTGAGAAGTTCAATCAGTTTAGGAAAATTAAGATTATGTAGCACCAAGATAGCTCCAATTTATGTGAATAACTTTTCATCCTCAAAGGTGGCCAATCACGAATAGGTGATCAATAACATCTTAAGAACTAAACTAATAAATTAAGAAATATTTACCTACTTTGACATTCAGAGATAGAGAGGAATGAAATGGTCAATGAACATATAATTAATAGCTTTAATAAGAATTTTATTGAATTGAGTAACGTTTCTACTTCATAGAGTTATTTTCACAACACATCTCTTGTAACGTCTCTACTTCATAAAGTTATCTTAACACATCTATTGTACCCGAATTGAAACTTGCAACTTTAAGATTATAAAAATTGTCATTGGTGTGTTAAGGTTGCATAACACTGTTTAAAGAACTCAATTTGTTTATTAAAAGAGAAATCTGAATGAAAAAGGAACCGATGATAGAGATATGGGCAACGAAATGCACTTATATTACTATTCAGGACTCTGCGGGTAATGCATTGTAGGGTGTAATCGGCAACAGAGGTGAGGACTCATAGTTTCATGTAGATTTTGGTGTCATTTTGATCTGCTAGATTGACAATTTGGGGTTATAGTTGAGTTTTGGTTATTTATTTCTCTAAAATTATTTATGTTCTGATTCTGTGGTAAAAAATACTATTCGTGAACTACTATAGTCTTTACCACTAAGCAAATCTTCTAACTTTATTGAGCTGGAGATTGTACTTAGGTTAGGTTCTACTTGCTTTAATTTAGGATTTGTTTTGAATGGGCAGAAAATATCTTATTCATTTCTTCATTATCACTTCCTTTTATATTTTTTGGTCTACGTTTACGTTGATGTTACATTGTTACAACAATTAGGGCAGTAAAATGAGAGCGGAGAGATGTTACATTTTACTGTCTGATTCTACTTGATGCCCAAACTTTACATTCAAGATTGGAAATGAAATAGTCACGGAGTTGTAAAACTAAATGGATGTGGAATTTTTATGGGACTACCATTATCTTATTATCATCTTATATGTAAAAGCTGGCTACGCTTTATTGGCCTAAACTTCCAACAACTGTTTCATTATTTGTCGTCTACTGAAATAAGTCTTTGGGTCTCTCTTCCATCCCCCTCCTTCCGTCGTCTGCCCACCACCGCCGTCTCGCCTCCGCCAATCACCGCCGTGTAGCTGCTGCCAAGCCTAGGTCCAATCAACCTCTCTTCTTCCTTACGCGAAACCCATACCGCCTTGCCGCAAAGTCCGCGAATGCGGGTCGCCCTGCTGTCCTCTCTTTCTTCAGCACCGAACTCACCCTACCTCCTTCACAGAGGACCATGCTTTTCTGGTCAGCACGCCACCGCGTTTCTCCTCCACACGCTACCCCCTGCCAATTGTAGGTTTGTGTCTTTGCCCCTCTCGATTGTGGACTAGCAAACAAAGGTTTAATCTCCTCATGTTCCTCTTTATCTCCTCTCGCTTTCCTCTTTCTCCACCCTCGGTTTGCTCCTCCCAAAATTTTCTCCGCCCCTCCTCCCACCTTCGCTCTCCACCGTTCCCACATTCTGCGAATACTGTTTTGGTTAGCTTATTCCTCCGCACCGCGAGTCGAAGCCAAAGTTGGAGTCGTAACAGGTGCCGGTCTCAAGATAGGAGACTGAAGTCGTGACCCGAGACGTGGCCGTTGGCTTGCTGCAGCAGGAGTCTGCACCGCAGTCGTAGCTACATCAACTGCAGAGTCAAAACTTCTTCCTCGGGGAATGATGGGAGGTCTGGAGGAAATGGTGTTCGTCGAGATGTGGTACAATATAGTGTGGGTCCGGGGAGGATGTAGGTTTAAGGCCCCACAGCGGCCAATCGGATGTGTCCGAAGATTTTGGGGCAGATAGTATGGAATGGGAAATAAGAGGCTTTCACATTCCAATCTATAGACTACAGTGGGTGGGGGAGAGAGACGACAAAGAAGGAGAGGAAGGAAGTGGAGTATGTATGCTTAATTTGGGGTTTCAGTTTCTTATGCCAGGCTCTGCTGCTTTTTCCATTGTTGTTTTTTATTTCTGGGGTTTCAATAATGCAGGCCGTGTTCCTCAATGAAGGGCAAAACAGGTCATTATGTTCCCACTTACAACAACAAGTCAGCGTCATCGTCGACCGATGAAGGAAAGGGTCCAAATAGCTAGAAGAAGGAAATCCTCCAGAATTGGCGATGAAAAGATAAAGGAGAGGAAGAGAGATAATGAGGAGAGACTGCAAAGAAGAAGGACGATAAGCTTGCTGCCTAAAGTGAAGAAGGTTTATGTAATTTGGGGATTTTGCAGGTTTAGGTTGTAGAGTAGCCACTAGCCATGGAGGAAACGATGAAGAAGTATCAACTGCGATTCGGAAGTTTAAAGGATGAAATGGAGAGATGGGAAGCTCTTTAGTCCCGTATTCTTCTTCCATCGTTGAGAGTTTACAGGTGAACTTTTATCATGCTTTGCTTGCTGAATCTCTGGAAGCAAATTTGTGTGCTTGAGTTCAGTTCTTTGTTTATTTTCCTTTAGACTCATTATTTCTGTAGACGAGCAAAGGTTGTGATTAACTCCCACAAAATGATGTCATTCTCGGTAGGCTGCTCATGTTTGTGGAATGTCTGTGTATTTAGTTCTTGCTTTAGTTCATGGAAATGACATAATGAATGTTGGTTGGCTTCAAAACGATAATGATCGTTGATTTTGGTATTGGGATGTACATGCAGGTATTGTGTGTGGGTGTGTCAGATTCTTTATGGTTAGATTGAAGCTCAAGATTGATGTCTTTTAAGCTTCAAACTATGTGTTTTCCTTTTCTTTCTTGAAAAGTATTCGTCATAGAAGATACGTATAGGACATTCAATTAAGAATGTCTGTAATTGCAACAGATGCATAAACTAATTAATTGGGATTTGTTTGTACTAAAAGCAACAAGAATCTAAAGTTAAAGAACATCATTTGCTATTGATGTCTTTTAACCTTCAGACTATGTTTAACTAACTTCATATTCATAGTCAATTGAACCATGTGCCAAGTTTCACAGCAAGATTGTCGTTAAAATTTTTCCTGTTTTGTAATTTAATGGCATCAACTATTCTATTGCAGATCATCACCCATCAAACATCCAGAAGCAGACAGAGGAATATGAGGGTCTAATCATGGAAGAAGTCGATATTGAACACCATGAATACATTATTGTTAGGGAATTACATTCTAAAATTGGGTGTAAGTAATATGCAACAAGACAAGGTTTCTTAGTGGCCTGTTTCTTAATGCAAACAGATAGGCTAGAAATGCTTCTGCTACAATTTTTGGTTGCTCTCTATGATGTTTGATTATGGCATCGGTCTTTGACTACTACTTTTGCTTTGCAGCCTCGGCTATCCACTTTGCATTGTTGTACTTTACATAGGTTGTCATTTTTCAGGACCAAGGTAAGAGATCAAAGAAGAAAGATAGAGATGGACAACAAATCAATGATAGAGACCATACTTTCGAAAGCTACCATGGACGGCTGGAGACCCTAGGCGCTCCAGTGGGTTCTCCAAGTTATTGACGATGTGTACGAATGAAATTAGTGAGTTCTCTTTCTCCTATTAGTTCCTTCTGGGCAACGGTTTTCGGCCTCCCCGCATGTCGCTTGCATCGAGATCTTTAATTTCAATCTTTCCATATCTTCCTAGGGTGTGCTGTTGTAGGAAGTTGAATCCATGCAGCTTCATGACCACAGGTTCTCATCGTTCTTAGGATAAGATCCTTCATCTCTACTCTCCAGCATTTTTCCTGCTCCTTCACTCTGAATCTCAGTTTCTTTTCTGCACCAGGTGGACTTCATCTCATCTCGAGAAGTGATGACTGGATTCATGGAAGAAGTCAAGCATTTTTGAAGTTCACGGTATATAGAAGATTAAAATGATGAAAGATTCAATGCTCTTTGTTTCCTGGTTCTTTTATGATGAAGTGTTATTTTAATTTATTTGCCTTTTTCCTTCAGATATATATATATCATCCAATCTGGGTACTAACTGGGAAGAGTTGCAGGATCGTACCAGCAACAATATGCGAATAGCAAAGAGCATTTTTCAGTCGGTTCCAGTGGGATTGTGTGTGTTAGCTCTCCCGCCATTCTTCTTTTCCAACAGGTTACTACTTACTATTACCTCTCTTTGTTTGTGTTTTTTATCTGTCTTGCTCATGTATGTGTGATTTTTTATTTCTTACCGAGGCTGTTGCACTCAAAGGGGAGGCGAAATGGAGTTTCAAATCCTTTTGAATAAGAAATTTGGTGGTGATTAACATGAACATTACAGCTGGAAATATGTGTTTGCATGATATAATTGAATGGCTAATGCATGTATGCATAGAAGACCTGTCTTGAATGAAAGCCAATGTTGTATATGGTGGAAAGGGTAGAATTTCCTTTCAAAAGATGTCAAATATTTTGTTTGCTTGCCCCTACACAGGTCCGTACGATCGTACCTATCATTGATCTCTTTTCCCAACTACCAAATTGGAATTTTGGTTAATTGAAAGATATCAGCTGACACAAAAATGCACATCAGTTCTCTTAGTAGCCTTTTCAGGGGGGGTTTTATTAGTCTATGTCCTGCTAATGGATCTGTATGGAAAGGGAAATTTCAGCAACCCATTAAATTAATGTGGTGAATTTGAATGCAGGTGATGCTTGCTTCTGATGGACTCTTCCCTGAAGTTAATATACTATAGGCTACAGCTGATGCTCACCAATAGTGATACCAGAGGAGAGGAGGATAGGTTTATGTTGCCTTATTTTGAGAGAGTTTAGGTAAGGAAGGAGGCGGTAATGGTAAAGTGATTTTGTTTTGTTTTACTTCAGTTCCAACTGTTTTCAGCGAAGCTCTCTATTTGGTTAGTTGAAGCCATTAGAATTCATTATTAGGATCTTACTGCAGCGGGAGACAACTTCATGGAGTTTGATGGGGAATCGCCTTAGAAAAATAGGAAATAGAATCGAAGCATTAAACAAGTCGGTTAGAAAAGTTAATTAGGTAGTTAAACCACTTCGAGATCTTAGGTCTTTCAGTTTCCATTCCAACTGATGAATCATTACTGTCGAATGGATTCAGGATTCAATGCCTTGGCTTTATTTGAATCTTGGTCATTATGTTTCTTCATTAGGTTAAATGTACAAGTACACTGCCAATGTTAGTCTTCTTCAGATGTTGTTTAATTGGGTCAACTTCTGGATGGCCCAGTGGTGAATATCTTGCTAATTATGTTGTTTGGTTCAGTTCCTGAAGCTTTTAGTGTTTAATCTATTTGTTGGTATCACAAGATAGTGAGATACTGAGTTTGGTGGTGATACAACCAATTGTGACTGGAGGCAACCATTATATACATAGATTGATTCAATAGTTGAGTCATATTTCTTTAAGTGAATTGCTCAATGAGTTCTTATGGTTGGTTAGTTCTAGAGAAAATTTGGTTGTTCAGAACAATGGTGATTAGTAAGTTGAGTGCTTAGGTTCGTTTTTGTTTGTAGTGACTGGAGCTACCAGCAAGGTATCAATGGCTTTTCAATCCAATTGTGAGGGAAACATGAAATGTTGGGTGTTGTAAGTCTATTGCCTTTTTGTAAGACGTCATTTTAAAAGATATGAAGCTCCCACAGCTGGGAAGTTGTTGGGATTACAACAACATTTGTAGGGTCACAAACATGACTCTCCACCTCCTTACAGCAAAGCAAACTACAACAGTGTGGTTTGACCATAAACTAAACTGCCATCCATTCATCACGTTTTTGCATCTTAAGTCCCCGCGGCGCAGCAGCGGGCATTTTTTCTAGTGGATGTAGTAGTCAAGAATGTGTGTAATGTATTGATCATTATGTTTCCTAAGCAGCAACTTGCACTCTCCAGGGTTGGTGTTTCTGCCGAGTTACTCCATTGTTCTGCTGAAATTCAGGTCGTCCTCGTTGGTTATGGCTGACTGGCTGTCATGGAACTTGTGTATGTGATGGATTTATGAGCTGAGAGAAGGATCGAATAATTGAAGGCCAGTAGGATTCGGCCCATGCAAGGAGGAATGAGCCATTACATGGCTAGGATGAAGCCCATGCACAACTTAGGAACTGATGCTTTGCTTAGGAAGTAATTCAGTTAGGCTTTGCTTCTTTTATTCATTGATGGTAACTGGTACGATTAGCTGGTTATGATTTTATTATTTTTCGAATAAAGGAGAGCTTCTCTCCATAATTGCTGGTGGGATCATGATTTTGGATATCATGATGTAAATCCCACTTCTGCTTTTGGATTTCAGTCCTCTCTTAAAAGAGGCTAGGAAGCAATAAAGAGGAGCATATCATTTTTAGGGATGGCAAATTACCCACCCATGGGTAATTATACCCAAACCCAAGTAGACCCATTGATAATGGGTTGGGTATGGGTGAAGTGCATATGGGTTTGGGGGTTTATAGATAGGTTTGGGTTTGGGGCTTCCATAATCTAAATGGGTATGGGTTGGATATGGATATCCATTTACTTGAGGGTGTTTTAACTACACATGCAAAAATTGGACCTATTTGTAAAACTTGAAAAGTTTAGGTACCAAAATGCAAGACCAAAAAAATTTAGGTACCAAAACGTAATTTTCCACCGATATTTTGAGGACTTATTTGCAAAAAAAATTAAATTTAGGTACTAAATATGCATGTCTATTAAGTTTGGGTACCAAACTGTAATTTGTATTTGGCATGGGTACAAACCCAAATCCATTTGATATAAACCCAACTCAACCCAAAGTAAATGGGCATGGGTACAAACCCATCAAACTCTACCCATATCCATTTATTTGGATTTCATACCCAACCCAATTGGGTTGGATATTAAGAAACCCATGGGTATGGGCAAAGTTGCCATCCCTAATCATTTTCCATAAAATCTCATACGTGAAGAGCATTTGTGGATAAATGAGCTTATGCGAAGTTAGTCAAACTGGTTTAAATTGTTATGTCGGTTCCATAAGTCCTATAGTCTGATTGGAGTATAACCGGTTTATGTCGATTTTAATAAAACATATGTGCAAAGTGAGAAGCCATTAACACTAGACGAATCATGCATATTTAAATAATCTATCTTTGAACGATCAATCTATAATCAACATTCATAATTAAATAAAATATTTCATTATAAACAAATATCAAAATAAAATATTTAAATGCAACATTTTACACTTAGAATACAAAAAATAACATCAACAACAAAATGCTCATACTTTAATCCAACAAATTATTTTCTTTTTCTTAATTAAGTCAGCCAAAAGGATATCATTTTATTCATGTACTGAAAATTGGTCATTCCAATCGAACCACTCTTTTCCAGGTTTGAACGAACTTTATTATTTTCTCAGGTTTCTCAATTAAAAATCGCTCAACACAAATTAACATTCCGGCCAACAGACGGGGTATAAAACACACGGAAAGTAGATGCAGCAAACCAAACTCTGCCTTCATCCGTTCATCGTGGATCTTCCAACATCAACAGCAATACAACACAAGTTTGCTCGGCTCTAGGTCCATGAGTGGAGTGCTTGAGATGGTATAAGCATCTAGGCCTCGAACGCAGATGAGATTTCTGACACTATTGAGATGAAGAAGCTCGGATACACGACCTTCGATTAACGCACTGCTCCGAGGGGAGAGAACGCGGCGAAAATGGAGCAGTGGGAGCAATGGAGACACCAAGATTAATGAGGCAGCATTTGGTGTCCTTGTTTGAGATCGGTGTCAATGAGGTACAAACGTCCTTCAGTTGCAACTGGACAGAAGCAGCTAAAGGAAGGAACTATAGGTAAGCTAACACGAGAGTTGCACTGGGAACAAGAAATGTGCAATACCTCGACTATGCATTCGAAATTTCATTGTAACGATATCATTTATCCGTTTCTAGTACATCGATTACTAACGAAACCGACTCATCGATTATCCAACTCCTTGAACATCAAACTGACCATGATCCTTCAACATGAAAACTTCCACAACTCAAAAAGTTCAACATTCCGATTAATAAGAACAGAAGGAAATGGAATGAATGCATTATTTGGTTCCTTCCAACAGCACCAGCCAAGCCAAAAACAATGGTGAAACACTGAGTTACTATTCAGAAGATAATACTTCACAATATCAACTATCTTCTAATACAGGAATGGCAAGGATGACCTGCACGGGCATCGAACAAACCCTAGAATCTCAATTCTTCAAACTACATGGGAAAATCTTTGCAGTTCTCCCAACAGGGACAGTAAAACAAGTAAGCTAAAGATTGCGACCATCAAAATCCCTTCGCAGTGCAAACACCAAACTAGTGTAGCCATCCAACCCAATATACTAACAAGCACATAGAAACCAAAGACCAATGCACAAAACTGTAAAGCTAGCTTTTTCTACCCATTTCAGTAGAGTAGCTTGAATTAACAGAGATACCACAAACCTAACCTCCAAGAAAATGGATGATCACTGCCTCCTTGCGTAGATGAAATAGGCCACAGCAGCTGCAGCAACAACAATAGCGCCTGTTGATCCAATGACCACCGCCGAAGCTGGCCACTCCACAAACTCTTCTTTATCCTCTCTACCATCTGTCTCGAACCCATTCACGGTTTCGACAGCTTTCTGTTTCAGCGCTACAATCACTTTCTCGGCATCTTCAGCCTCCTTCTGCAGCTCCACCATCCTCATTTCTACTTCCCTGGTCCTGCTCTCTGAAACCCTAAGCTTCTCTTCCAGTTCGGCCTTCTTGGCCAACTCGTTCTCCAACTCCTCCACTCGCTTCTTGTACTTCACCAGCTCCTTCTCCTTCTCAGCAAGTCTATCCCTGGTCTCCTCTTCCAACCTAATCTTCTTACTCTTCTCCTCGGTTTCCTTCACCTCAAGAACCCCAACTTTCCTCTCCAATTCCCTCACTCTCTTCTCGTTCTCTGCCTTCTGTTTCTTTGCCTCGTCCAGTTTCACCTCCATGTCTCCGAGCACCTTCTTCAGTTCAGCAACTTCGGTAGCGTAATCCTCACCTTGGCCCATCGACGTAATCAGATCGTGCTGGAGCCTCGAGACCTCGATCTCCAGATCCCCAGCCCGAGCAGCTATCGAATCCAGCGTGTTTTTGGTCTCTTCCGACTGCTCAAGCTCGTTCTCCAACTCTTCCAGCCTCTGCATCATCTCCGATTCCTCCGATTTCAGTGATTCCATCTCCGCTTGCAACTTCGCGACCTGGTCCTTCAATTCATCGTTCTCCTGAACCAGCGACCCGTTCTGAAGCTCCAGCGCTTCAATCTTCTGCTTCAACTTGGCGTCGCCGTCGCCGCGGTGGTCGGGGGTCGAAAAGATCTCCACCTCACGATCCTCCTCAGTCGTAGTAGCACCATTAGTATCAGTATCCGCCATCAATCAAACCCTAAAATTAACCCCAAGGAATGAAAAAACGAAAGAATCAGAAAAATCGAAATCGCGGAGAAGAGAAAACGAAGATGACGCTGGATTGAATTGATTACTTCTATGACGGAAATTGAGTTTTCCCGAGAAACAATCAAGCCGAGAGGAAGAACTGAAGAAGCAGAAGGTTTAACAGAGGCGGCGGCTAAGCAAAATGGAATTGTTTGGGGGTGAATTTTCCGGGAAAGTGAGGATGAGAAAAGGAAAGAAAAAGGAATTCTTACCTTCGTTTTCCAGCGTAACTGGGAAGTTGGGGGAGCGCTGAAAATGCGGAAACTACTGGAAAAATGGAAATATTTTAGGGTTCTCTAGCGAATTTGATTTCTCCTTTTCTATCTTGGTCACTTGGGGTGGGGGCCCAAGTTCGAATGGGCCGTCCAGTAAGTACACTTGAATTGGGCTGGTACAAGATCCAGCCCCTTTCCTACAAACTGGAACAATTTATTAATTAATCACATTTAAGTTTGGTTAATTGCAAGGTTGGTCACTGAGTTTACTAAAAACGTTCATATTTGGTTACTAAAAATATTTAATTCCATTCGTGGTTACTAAGATTAGTCACACATTTCAAATTTGGTCATTCTCCGTCTAATTCTGTTAATTTTGTCTGATGTGGCAGTCAACTTTCAAAATTGACAGCTAACTGAATGACGTGGCAATTAAAACATAATAAATAAATTTTAATCTTTTAAATTTCAAGCTCATTTCATAATAAAATAAAACTGAAAAAAATTATTAGAATTATCGAGATCGTCGACATGCTGCGGAAGCACACCTACGATGACGAGCAGGAGCAAAGCCGTCGGAAAGGGCAGGGGAAACAGAGCAGCAGGTTCAATTCCAACGGTCACAATGTCGGATCGGACCGACTTGTGATCCCGAAGCAACACGTCGAGAAGCATTTCCTGCTGCAAAGCGGCGGTAGCGTCGGTTTGAGCAGCAGACTGCTGAATTTTGAGGATGCGGCGGGGAAAGTGTGGCGGTTCTGGTACTCGTACTTAGAGGTGGCAATTTTAATCCAATCCACCAATCCAATCCATCAATCCATTAAAAATATCCACCTAATCCAATCCATTTAAATCCAATCCATTTTATCCAAATCCAATTGGATTGGTGGATTCATGGATTGGATCCATGGATCATTGGCAAATTACGGTTTAGTACCTATAATTTATATTTTTTACATTCTGGTACCTAAAATTTAATTTTTTATACGAAAAATATCATTGGAAAATTACGTTTTGGTACCAAAAATTTCATTATGACATTTTAGTACCTAAACTTTTTACATTTTACATATTGGTCCTTGGGTGAGGATGTCATTTGGATTCATTGATAATCCACCAATCCACTTGATCCAATCCATGAATCCACCAATCCATTAGATCCAATCCATTTAATCCATGGATCCACCAATCCAATTGTTTACACCATAAATTTTATCTTGTACCACATTGGTGAGTTACAAGATAATCAAGGAGTTTATAAGGCCACACTCATTATAACAATTAATGTTGTTTAAATTGGGCCTTATGGATATTGATTTTAAACCCAAGTCACTAGCTCATTAATGAGCACGGACATGATTCAATAAGGGACATGGGCCTCTCGTAAGAGGCCATGCCATGCCACGAGATGGCATGAAAATTTCTAAGTATGAGAAGTCCATGGCCATGAATGAAGAAGCCATGCCGCCTCATAACCAAGACCAAACGACACAAAAACATGTCCATCTAGAATTTAGAAGCACATGCCATCTCAAGGAAGACCTCGATACGGTCAAAAATATTCTAAGTCTCGAGAAGGGCATGCCACTTCACGAAGAGACCATGCCGCCCCATGACCAAGGCCTAATGACTGAAAAATAAACTAATTCTGGAAGAGGTACATGCCACTTCAAGGAGAAGCACATGCCACTTCACGAGAAGGGGCATGGACGCAAGAAAAGATACTAAGTATGAGAGGGTCCTGCTGTGTCACGAGAAGGGCCACAAACATGACTGAGAAGTCCATGGCCACGAATGAGGAGGCCATGTCGCCTCATGATCCAAAATATACTAAGTCTGAGAAGGTCATGCCGCCTCACGAGAAGGGTCATGTGCATGATTAAGAGGTCCATGGCCGTGTCATGTGATGGCCATGGACGCGAAGCAAGAAGCGTTAGAAATGATTGAAAATACTAAGTATGGAAAGGCCATGCCGCCTCATGAGAGGGGCCTTGTGCATGATTGAGAAGTCCATAGCACTTCACAAGAGTGGCCATGGACACGAATGAGAAGGGCGTGGTGGTGGAGCACTATATCAATAATGACTAAGTCCCAAGTGGGCCATGGACATGGGTACGAAGTCCATGGCCATGAGACAAGAGAACCATGACCCCCTTTGCGAGACACTACATGCTCGTCAAAAGACTAGCATGGCACGAGATTCAGAACAAGACCAGGCGAGGCAAGCTACACTCCAAACCCACGACGGTTCCAAGAGAGGCACCTAGGCGGTTGAAGGAGTAACCACCACTCCGAGGAAGCATGGAGCAGTTCTTTTTGGGAGTTATCCAAGAGGCGGTTTTTCCACCGAAGAAAGAGGAGCGGTTCTTTGTAGCAGTTATCCAACAAGCGGTTTTCTAGGACGGTTACCTCCTCAGGGCTATAAATTATAGGAGGGGTCGACAGAGACAGAGGTTCCAAAACCAACACTCTGACACACATGTCAATTTTATCCTTTACCTTTTCTCTATCATGTAGCCATAGATGTAGTTCGTAGTTTGGAGCTCTCGCCGAACCTCCATAGGAGTAGAAGTAATTTAATTTAGATCTCGTTCCCAAAAACCTTCAATCAAACACCCTCGTTCGAACTTTGTTTGAAGAGGTTTGAGCCGTGTCTTAGAAATCGTTGTCCATAGAAGTCAAAGGTGCAATCAATCTCAATTCAACGCAAGAAGTTTTCTCGCCGGAAAACAAATTTGGCACACCTGGTGGGACCTTGTGTTTGATATGATGGCTCCACGACTTAGACAACAAGATGAAGATCTTCTACAAGTCTTTGTAGAAGAGGATCAAGTGACTAGCTTCAAAGTTGGTCGAGTGGACGTTGTTGCCGAAAACAATGGCGGGATGAAGGCTCTGCCAACACCGGCGACAAGTTTGGATGAAGCAGCTTCCATCACTTCGCTCCATCAATCCATTGAGGAGGGTATGGTTGACCCCCAACAGGTAAACCGACGTTTAACTTCTCATATTAAGCGCCATGCTTCTTTTATTGAACGTATCGATTCTCTCATTGAACGTCATGATTCTCTCATTGAGCGTCATGATTCTCTCATTTCTTGGATGGATACATGTCAATATAATTGGTTTGGCAACTTGAACAAGACTCAGAGCCATTTTTATGAGTCTAGACATGTCTCAAACACATTTGTGGTTCAATCAAGGACTTTGCCAATGAATAGCAAAGATCCACCACTAAATAGTGTTACATGGAGTGAGAATTTTTCTTCCACTGTTTGTCAAAATGGTCGACCATGGGTAGGAACCTTGCCGACATCGGTGACAAGCCAACTTCCTTCTCAACATGGGAGTTGTGGCCAAAATTTGGCTTGCACGTTCAAGAACCACGATGGGGATTTTTCGGTACAAAGTGGAGTTCAACCGCCCATTCTAGATATAAGACCATCTAGGATCCATGTCGATGACGTAGGTGGTTGCATTTCATTGAAACTGAACCAAATATCACATTCTGCTCGCCCACCCCCATTGCCACCCCTAGTGAGTAGGCAAGGAGCAGATTCTAATAGACTCAAACCACCTAGAGCCCAGCAAGGGGGCATGTAAGTTTACCACTCCACAAGATGAAATCGAGAAGACCATTTGGGGAGCATGTGATGTTTAAGAGGCCACATCAATCACAAGCAACACATGCTTGTGCTAAACATACTAATTTGGCCAAGTTCGGAAAGGGGGGCATGCCACCAACCACTTGTAGTGGACATTGGGACATATCTAACAAGTCACAACGCGAGAAAGCCATAAAAAGTTATTGTAGATTTGAAAATTTGGCTAATTATGGACAACACATGTCCAAAAAGTCATATGAAGTCCAAGCCACACATGTTTGTGATAAGCATGCTAGTTTGGCTAAGTCTGGATATGGGGGCATGTCAGTGTCACCCATCATGAAGTATGAAGTAGGGGGCATGTCTTGGAAGACACAACAGCCCCAAGCCACCCATGAATTTTATAAGTGTAAAACTATGGTTAAGTCTGGACAAGAAGGCATGCCACCAATCATCAACAGTGGACATGAGGTCAAGTCCAACAAGAAAAGATGTGGGAAAATCAAAAAGAGTTCTCGTAGTCTTGAAAATTTAGCTAAGTATGGGAAAGGAGGCATATCACCCACCATAAATGATGGAGTAGGGGGCATATCCAAGAACCTAAAAGAATTCCAGCCTACACATGCTTGTGATAAGTACACAAGTTTGGCTAAGTGTGGACAGGGGGGCAAGTCCATGTCCATGAGTAGTAAGTACATGCCATCAATCATGAATGACGGACATAGGGGCATGCATAAGAAGGTATCATACGCACAAACCAGACATGGCCTCACAAAGAACCAAGGATGGTCGTGTGCTAAGGGTAGGAGCCAACAAGGTTTGGAGGTTGAAAGACAAAGTCAAGTGGGCCACATGGGTGGTCGCCAACTTTTCAAGACTGGACATCGTCTCCAACAACATGAGGAGAGTAAGCATGTCTCAACCATGAGGAAACCAAGACAGGAAAACCCATGGTCGTCTTGACATGTCAAGTGAAGTGGCTAAAGCACATGAGCATGAGACCCCATGCAAGGCCACCAAGGCTAGACATGCTGATCATATACCACCCACTGGTAAGCTAGAAAATTCAAAATTAATGTATGGAGAATCATGTTCCATGGAGGAAAAGAAGCATGTGGTATATGGATGGCTTGCATGTTTTAATCCATGGACTTGGCAGTGGGTGTACACCTTTGGCGCATTAGTTGTTGCCAGAGGCGATGGAGAGCAGTGACGTTTGTCACTCCTTGTTATCTTAAATAAATAAATATCATATATATTAACTAGCTTATAACCTGGCCCGTTGGCCGGAATGTTTATATTTGATTTTTTTATACTTTTTATGTTACGTTAAAGTCTATCTACCCGTTTAATTTTATTGACAATCTTTCAATTGAGATGAAATATAAAGAAAGAATATATAGGTCGAACATTCAGAGAAATATCATCATCATTTGAGAAAATAAAATATAAAAATGTATAAAACATCTCATTTTCATAATGATAATTAAGCCCAGTTAATATGCTATTAGTTAGTTGATTGTTAAGAAAGATAGAGTATAAAAGCTCACTGGAATTCCCACACGACCCATAGATAGTTTGAAACTGAATCTAAAACCTCACAATCCTACGTAAATGGTTCAATGCTCTCATTTTGGGGGCAATATGCCACTAATAAAAAAGAAATGGAGGGTTGTAGGTTCAAGTCAACTATATACTAACAACTCAGCTAAGAGAGGACCATCAAAACTTGAGAGCAAACGACAAAATTGGATTACCTCCAATATACTAATAGACTCGATCAAAGTAATATGACGCAAAATTAGACAGTCCTTATCTATCAGTTCCAACAGGCTGAATAAAGAATCGACCTACTTCATTAAATCAATCAATAATTACTCGTTTTAAGATAGAAATAGGTTGTGGTAGCTGCAAAAACCATAAACCTAATGATCCAATAGCCACCACTCTCCATTGAACGACCAAATTTTTATCTACTCTATCTTCAATCTCAAGAAGCATATGTTTCAACCGAACATTAACTTTCTAATCCTCCTTCTGCAACTCCATTTCTGCTACTTTGATGGACCTTCTCTCTGCGGCCCTCAATTTCTCTTCCAATTGGGGTTCTTGTCAACTCGCTCTTCAACTCCTCAATCCCCTTCCTGTGTTTTGCCAACTCATCTTCCTCAGGGGCAGTTCTAATAAGTTCGCTAAAACCAAAACTCATCTCCAATTCCATAAATATGCTCATCTCCCCCCTTGCATGCCTTCACCTGCTTCAGCACACTTCCATGTCCTTCAATATCCTCATCATCTCTCACTTCTCTCTCTTCAACTGCTCCAGTTTTGCTTCCGCGTCTTTCAACACCCTCCTCAATTCGATCACAAACTGCTACAGTTGAAATTTTCTTCCCCCACCACTCTCATTCTCAAACTCAATCCTAACTCTTCTACTCCAAGTTCAACACCTCAAACTCCTAGATTGTTGCATGAAAGCTCAATTTCTAACTAATTCTAAAACAATATCAAAATTTGATTAGTGAGTTGGACCATAAGAATAAAAATTAATGAGGAAAATTATGGTTGCGGAGAACATTAGTTATCACAAAATCAAATATGAGTGAAAATATTGTAATTGAAAAGAAACCTTTTTTCTAATTTTGATCTTATTTTATTATTTCAATAGCTAAGCAAAGAACAAAAATAAAGTATCGGAAACAATGAACAAAAAAGTAGACAGGGCTCTAGGAAAGTACAACTGCCCTGTTCTACACAAACATCTCTTTTGCTTACAAACAAATATAGTACCCAAACCATCGTTCAAATTCATTTTCTATATTTTATAAAAATCATTCATAAACAACAAACTTAGATAAATCGCGAAGGAAATAATAGCCTACCAGTTCAAGTCGATGAACCTTATATGAAGATTAACTGTTTGCTTATCCCCAAGCAAACCTAACTCAAACCAATGCAGCTCTCTAGAGCTCTATAGCAACATACAACCCCGATCTTCGGTAGAGGATTTCCTAGATCATATAGCAGCTTACGAGGTCAACTGGTCTTCTAAGACGTTCCCTATCTCTCTCAATGCGAGTACTAGACTCAAGCCAGGATCATGAGAAAAAGTAGAAGTAAGACAGTCAGTTCATGGATAAAGGGACTCACACCATTCACAACCAAGGATTCGTTGTACCGGGGTGCTCTTTCACTTCATTTCACCGTTGGAACCCCTTTTTCTCACTTTCATTTACATTTTTTCTTTCATTTGGTGGGGTTCCAACAGCAGTCTTTTGCACGGTCGACCCTTATTAGTCGAGCAAGAGCAATTTCTGTACATCTGGAGCTCGCCAGAGTACTTCTTTTAACTCCTTTTCCTCAACTCGTGTGGAGGGTCAATGAAATTAAGGGGGTTCGGAAGCTCTATCCGTGCCCTTAAAAACACATCCTCAAGTAGGCAAACCGTTCAACGGGTGGAAGTTTTACTTGTACTAGAGACAACTTAGCTTCACCTTGTAGGAGTACCCCACTAAGGATCACTAAAATCTCTTCCAAAACCCGATTTTGTGCAATGAACGGTGCCGCACACGTTGGGCTTACCCCATGTTTAAGATTTAATGATTTTGACATGGAGGACCAACTTCTTCCCATTTTCCATATGAGCACCCTGTTCGATACACGAGTCCATAACATAATCCAAACAGAGTCACCATTACCACATGAATTCAACGGTCTTAGCTCCACTAATTCACAAAATCAACTGGCACAACAGAGAGCTAGATAGGAAAAATCTTATACTTCAACATCCTCCATAGTGCTACACTACCTCCCTAGGTTGCACATTACTATAGAGACTGTCAATTCAAAGCATACTAAGAAGGCAATTTGCAAGGAAACACATACTTGGAGCCCTCAAATTTAAAAATTTGGATAGTGAACTAGGCTCCAAGCACACAAACAGCCAAACATTCACCTGCATACATAATCGAACACCCCCCCACACTTAAGCATGACATTGTCCTCAATGGAGGAAAGATAAGGAGGGTAGAACGAAGTTACCAGATCAAGGGTGAATGATGATGTACGGGTCAGGCAGTGCATTCCAGGAAGAGAGAGTAATCAGAACACAAACACCACGCAAAATCTCACAAAGGTTGAGTTATTGACTCTAAAATCAAATAACAAAACTGACTCAACCGAGGAGAAATAGAGAAAGAAATGCAAACCGACTGGTTGGGTTGCCTCCCAACAAGCGCTTCTTTCACGTCGTGAGCCGGACGATGGCTCTTAAGTTTTGGTCCATGCTAGAACCTCCTTGAAGTTGAAGTTCTCGTCGATGAGGTGGAGTCTCAAGTCACGAGCATGTGGTGTGGCAGGTGATGAAGGCTCATGTACTTGATGCAGATGAAGTCTCCACCCTCGAGACCTCTTCTTCTCTTCTCTCGTCTCATTGCCCCAAACCAGATATGACAGCATCGACCGACCACCATTGCGTCCACCAAGAGGGACCGATGTCGATGTGGCCTTGGTAAGGCAAAGAGACACTGCACGTGGGTCCTTGCCAAGCAGTTCCTCAAAGTTTGGTGGGCATATTACTTGCAACTCATGGCCGGTGCATGCCTCTTCCACCTCAACTTCATCCTCAGCCTGGACGCCAATTGCTTCCTCAACCCCCCTTCCTTCTTCAAAATGTGGTCTCTCCCCTGGGAAAAGATCAAGAACCACCTCTTCTTTTCTTTCTTCCTCATCATCCACAACTTCCTTCCTCATCCTTGCTCGCTCTTCTTCTTCTAGAACAGATTGGAGAGCAAGTCGCCAAGCAATTTCTTCAATGGGATCATCTTGCATCTCCTCGCACGGGCCCAGCATGTTAGAGCATAAATGAGGAAAGGTGTGGTCTGCAACCAAAGGACTTTCCTAATCATGGTTATCATGGGAGTTCTCTGTGATAACTTCTGTATGCTCCTCAACGCTCCCATAGCCTTTGTCATCCTCCACCTCTTCTAGCGTGGCAGCAGAAAGGTGATCTTGAGCAAGATGTGAGCAAACTTGCTCTAAAACACAACACCTAACAATGGCCAAGTGTAACCAATGAAAGGGACTGTAGTATAGTGGCACAAGTAATAAATATCGAATCCACGGGTCTCTAGAGTTACTATTACTCAGCTTCAGTTCATTATCTAGCAAACTAGATTAAGGATTGATTAACTAAACTACTCTACTAACTAAACTAAGTAAAACTACTAATTACAGTTTGGGAACTCACTTAGGTATGATTCCCCCTAGCTCCTCAATTAGATCCAAGTTGTAATTCCTTTTGGTTGTTTTACTGTTGATTAAACTGCGGAAGATCCGACAGTAGCTTGGAATCTCTTAAGCTGACCAAGCCCTCTCAGTCTAACTATCCGGCAGACGACTAGTCTTCACCGGGATAGAAAGCTGAAGCAGTAAGAACAGAACTCCACTACTGGAATTGGATTCCAGTACAAAGCAGTAAACTGGCTAACTCTCGTATAGCCAATCTCCTACTACCGAATGATGAGACTCTAGCAACCTAATCAGATTCTATCTATCTCATATTGCAGCAGGAATCAGGAAAAGTTGATCAGACTTCAATTGACTCAATAAACATGCATCATTCGATTATAATCAAACAATATAGCATCCAAAACTTCATACAAGAAAGATCCTAACTCATGGAACTAAGGTTCCTCAAAACCTAAGTGAAGGGACGTTACTCCATAGAGAAGAGAGAGACTGCAGAAATCTAATCTAGATCTTCAATCTCCATCTCCAAGCTTGATTCCCGAGCTCCAATGGCGAAGAAATCCTCCAAAATAGCACCAAGAATGTTCCCAAGTCGCTCTCTCTCTCTCTAGGGTTCGTCCCTTGGGTGTTTGGGGTCCAAAACCCAGCTCTCCCTCTTTCCTTTTGCTGAAAATCGGGTTTTAAACAGCAATTCCCGACTCACACGGCCAGGCCACACGGCCGTGTGGCTTTCCCAGCTGCCCGTGTGAAGACTCGGTAATTTCCACACGGCCACATGGCCAGGTCACACGGCCGTGTGGGTTGTGCCCGTGTGGCTTGCTCAGCCTCTGTTTAATGCTTCGTTTCTCCCTCGTCCGGACTCCGAATCAGTCGCCGTTTGATCTCAGACGCTCATAGTCTCGTCCTCTTTATTTTCATGACAAGCTTGCATGATTATTTATCCATAAAGTGAGGTAGAAATCCATTCTTCTTCAGGTCATACCCGAGTTTCTTCTCCCGAATCGTCAATTGATCTCTGATTGACTTGAAACTTGCGCCTATGCTTCACTTTATGTGCTAGGACCTGAAATGTGACAAAGGAACACAACCTAGCGTAAAATAGGCCAAAGACACGATAATTCAAGCTCAAACAATCAAGAAACAAAGGGGAAAACATGTGCAAATACCGAGTCATCAAAGATAGAAACTCATTGAAGTTGAAACCTAATAACAGAAAGAGGAGAAATGACGCAGGAGATCCCCCGAGCTTTAAACATCGTATCAGGCAATAAGATCAAAAGAAATAGATATTCTGCATGTTGTGCTCATGAGACAACGTGAAATAAAAGTCGTTTTGTTATTAATCAGAAAGATAAAACCATGAGACATAGAGAAGAAATGAATGACTTACATGTGCAAAGCGATTAACCTTGGCCAAAAACCGAAAACCTATTAAAGGTCAATGCCTGGTATAGGAAGATGAGTAAAGGCGAAAGGTATAACTGATCAAACATTGCCTTCAGCAATAGAAGCAATAAAATAGTTCTTCTGGTAGTACATCGAGGAGAGACAGAACCATTGGGTGATGCCAATGCAGAGGAATCAAGCGAGATAATCAAGGTCAGGCCATAACTACTTGATTGAACTCCATTCTATTCGCCATGGATTGATATGAGAGTTGAAATCTTCTACTTGCCCAGCCTAAATTCCCAAGAATAAAACTCCAGTGCCAAGAGATACCCGAATGTTGATTTTCAAATGCTCCTTATACTGGGAAGTGAAAGCACGCAAACTATTGCACGATGGAGGGAATTTCGGAGAAAATTAGAAAGAGATAAGAACAAAGATAAAAAGGCACAAAATTTAAATTTATATTGAAAAATGCAAGGACACAACACGTAATAAAGGAAATAGTTTCTTCCATGTTAGCCAATTACCAATATACCTTTAGCAAAACATTGAGAGAGCATGAATTCTAAAGATTGATAAAATTAAATGAAACTCTACTATGAAAATTGAAGTATTAAGCACCATGAAAATACATATGATAGACTTAGTGCCCTTGTTAATCATGATGAAAAAGTTCTCTGCTTTTCACAGTTTCAATACATGTATGTTTTGTATTAAAAAAGGAAGAACAAATACACTTAGTATAATTGGTTATGACTGCTATCTTTGTTTAAAGAGATCCAGGTTCAAGTCTTGGTATTGATATTTTTTATGAAATAAATAATTAATTGTAAAGACAAAAATATCCTTCCTACTTTCACTCTCATTGGAGGAAATTTGAAATGGAGAAAATTTTACAAAACTCTACTATATATTAACGGAGGATTAATAAATAAAATCCAATCATGGCTATATAAGAAAAATAGAGAGAAAATAACAAAGTGGAAATTTTGAGTCGAAGTTATTAGACTTTGATGTGAAGATTTTACCACCAAGTCGTAGTGATGGCTTGGCATACCGAGTCGTAGATTGCGTCTTGCCATGCTATGTCGTCTTGTCCCAAGTGGCCACAAGTTTGGATGTTGGCCACGACCTAAGGGCATCGTGGCTTGGAGATGAGTGATGGCCAACTTGATCATGTACAATAAGAAAAGTGTAGGGGCCTCACTGAATTGTTGACGAAAATCCAACAAGGCAAGGGTTTCTCGTGGCTACACATGAATGAAGACAACATAGGCGGCATAGCTAGCCACTTGAAAGACGTAGGTATCATGGTGTTGTTTTAGGGGGGAAAATTTCAAGTTTTATTGAACCTGTGGTCATGGGTGAGTAGAGACAAGCCTTGTTACTCGAGGACCAGTTAGAGAAGGGATATAAGTGGTCAAGTTGGTCTCAACTACTTAGTCCATAATCCTTATGCACTAAGTAGTTGGGGGGCATTTGTTTACACCATAAATTTTGTCTTGTACCACATTGGTGAGTCACAAGATAATCAAGGAGTTTATAAGGTCACACTCATTATAACAATTAATGTTGTTTAAATTGGGCCTTATGGATATTGATTTTAAACCCAAGTCACTAGCTCATTAATGAGCACAGACATGATTCAATAAGGGACATGGGCCTCTCGTAAGTGGCCATGCCATGCCACGAGATGGCATGAAAATTTCTAAGTATGAGAAGTCCATGGCCATGAATGAAGAGGCCATGCCGCCTCATAACCAAGACCAAACGACACAAAAACATGTCCATCTAGAATTTAGAAGCACATGCCATCTCAAGGAAGACCTCGATACGGTCAAAAATATTCTAAGTCTCGAGAAGGGCATGCCACCTCACGAAGAGACCATGCCGCCCCATGACCAAGGCCTAATGACTGAAAAATAAACTAAGTCTGGAAGAGGTACATGCCACTTCAAGGAGAAGCACATGCCACTTCACGAGAAGGGGCATGGACGCAAGAAAAGATACTAAGTATGAGAGGGTCCTGCTGTGTCACGAGAAGGGCCACAAACATGACTGAGAAGTCCATGGCCGCGAATGAGGAGGCCATGTCGCCTCATGATCCAAAATATACTAAGTCTGAGAAGGTCATGCCGCCTCACGAGAAGGGTCATGTGCATGATTAAGAGGTCCATGGCCGTGTCATGTGATGGCCATGGACGCGAAGCAAGAAGCGTTAGAAATGATTGAAAATACTAAGTATGGAAAGGCCATGCCGCCTCATGAGAGGGGCCTTGTGCATGATTGAGAAGTCCATGCCACTTCACAAGAGTGGCCATGGACACGAATGAGAAGGGCGTGGTGGTGGAGCACTATATCAATAATGACTAAGTCCCAAGTGGGCCATGGACATGGGTAAGAAGTCCATGGCCATGAGACAAGAGAACCATGACCCCCTTTGCGAGACACTACATGCTCGTTAAAAGACTAGCATGGCACGAGATTCAAAACAAGACTAGGCGAGGCAAGCTACACTCCAAACCCACGACGGTTCCAAGAGAGGCACCTAGGCGGTTGAAGGAGTAACCACCACTCCGAGGAAGCATGGAGCAGTTCTTTTTGGGAGTTATCCAAGAGGCGGTTTTTCCACCGAAGAAAGAGGAGCGGTTCTTTGTAGCAGTTATCCAACAAGCGGTTTTCTAGGGCGGTTACCTCCTCAGGGCTATAAATAATAGGAGGGGTCGACAGAGACAGAGGTTCCAAAACCAACACTCTGACACACATGTCAATTTTATTCTTTACCTTTTCTCTATCATGTAGCCATAGATGTAGTTCGTAGTTTGGAGCTCTCGCCGAACCTTCATAGGAGTAGAAGTAATTTAATTTAGATCTCGTTCCCAAAAATCATCAATCAAACACCCTCGTTCGAACTTTGTTTGAAGAGGTTTGAGCCGTGTCTTAGAAATCGTTGTCCATAGAAGTCAAAGGTGCAATCAATCTCAATTCAACGCAAGAAGTTTTCTCGCTGGAAAACACCAATCCACCAATTCAATCCATTTGCCACCTCTACTCGTACTGGAACAGCATCCAGAGACGAAAGGGTGGAGTTCGTGAAGGAGAAGGGCTTGAAATCCGACAACATTGTCAACTTACAGAGATCCACCGCCGGGCAGCAGCAACGACAGCAGCGGAATGTGAAGGTGTCTGATTCTCATCTCTCTATCTCTATCTTAATGGAATGTGAAGGTGTAGCAATCATAACCCCACTCTCCGCCGATTTGGGTTATCCGATCACGGCCAAATCTATTTTGGTTAGTCGACAAGGTAAAGTGTCCTGGATTTGTCAGCGGCTTGTTCTCTTTCAATTCTCGTTGAAACCTGCTTGTAATTGTGTTTTTTGAGGTGACCCTTTTTCATATTCTGGGCAGTCTCATATGTTCTTGAGACTGGTTGATTTTCTTACGAAGTCTAGTAGTTGGCCATAAAACTTAAAAGAGACCCATGGAAAGCAACGACGACCCACTTTTGTGGCCCAATTTACAAAACAGAATAGAATCTCCAATTTTTGTCTCAAACCATCTTTGTGGCGGCAAAAGGAGGAGGTGTAGGGGGAGAATGCAAGAACAAGCAAACAGCAGAGATGTCATCCATGGCAATCCCTCTCCTCCGCCGCCTCCAGGCCTTCATCGCGGCCTTCACCAGGCACTTGGCCGCCTTCGACCGGTCTGTCACAGACGATACGATCTGCACGGCTTCCTGGTTTGACACCACGTCCCACACTCCATCCGTCGCCATGATCACGAACTGGTCTTTACTGGAAATGTGCCTCTGGGTCACTTCGGGCACGGAGATGAGACCGAAATCCTTGATGCAGTAGTCTCCGAAAGCTCGAGACATTGCAAGCCCTGGCGATTCTTCATCCGGTAGCCAGACCCTATGGACCCCTGGCTCGTCGCCGAGGCAGAACACTCTGCCCTTGCATTCCACTATCCTCTCTGCCTCTTCTGCAACAACCCAAGACAATGGGAATAACGGCTTTTCAGACATGTATTCAATAATCTGTAAACCCTAGAAGAAAAAATATAGAGGCAGAGGCTGAGAAGGCAGAAACTAACGAGGTAGGCTGGGCTTGAAATCTACAGTCAGCTGAACAGGCACCAAAATTCCATCTTCTGATGTGGCCAAAACAGCTCTAGAATCTCCCACATTGGCTATATAAAGCAACTCTCCCTGTATACATAAGGAACAAGGACATAGTCTTAGAACTCTGTAAACAAACAAACAAACAAAATGGTAACATGAAACCGGCATAGATCACTGAAATCGGTGTTAAGATGTCCAACTCGGTGTTTTAAATGTCTCGATATCGCGATTTTGGAGACCAATGGGATACATAAAGACGATTCGTTGATGACCAGCTAAGTGTTTTATCGAAAGTATGAAAACCCATTTCACTTGCCTGTCTGACGATGGTCAAGGCGGTGGTGCCACTGTGGAAGGAATCAATCCTGCGGTGCTGCTCCAGCTCCTGATCCACAGCAGCACATGTCTTTAAGTAGCAATGCTTCCACATGTTGAATCTCTGGAGCTTTTTATCAGATCCCAAGTCGATTTCGTCAAGAAGATAATCGACCGAAGAGGATTCAGCAGCAGCTAAGGCTTCTTGCCAGTTGCACAGCAGGTGTGATGGCAGTGATTCCCTAACTTTCTTGGCCACAAAATGTCCCCATGGTCCATGCCCGTCGAATATCCCGCAGAATGTCATGTCCTCTTGGCAACCGAATTCCTAAGACAAGAAATGTCACACTTTATATCAGCAAAAGAAGAACCAGATCATCTCAATAATGTCTGAGTCGGTGTGAGACTTATCTATGTCCTTAGTAAAAAAAAACAAGTCTATCAAAACCTGATATCCGAGGATTATCAGGATTTGAACGACAAACAACCTAGATCATCAGAAATCTGAAAGTTCAATCTTAAACAATCCATTGATTATGTTCAATGTAGTACGCTGAAATATTCGAGACTAGATCTTATACTACACTGTTAAAAATCCAGACAATTAGAAACAGAGAATTTTCACTAACCTCCCAAACGATGAAGCAATCCTGATTAACACCCTTCTCTCCCCTCTTCGAGAATAACGAGGCCAAGTTATTGGAACCAGCAACATTAACACAACCAGACGATCTCAAGATCAACTCATTCTTCTTAGCTTCTTTCTCCATGGCTTTCGCGGCCTCTCTGCCACCACCTCCACCATTATCCTCATCCCCACAAAAGTTCTTGCTTTTCTTCAGAGAGAGAGACCGTGCAAGCTTGAACATTGCAGAAAGATGCCCCATTTTGAGAGAAATTGAACTGCTGATCAATAATGTATATGGTGTCTCCTTTTATACACCTAATACAAAGCACAAGACGTTATCTGAGTCAGAAGATTCCCAGTGAGTCAGAAAGGTGAGGATCTAAGAATTTTTATATGTAAGTCTGAAAATCTTGTGACATACCCGCTAAGTCTAGTATTAGTACTATAGATCATAGATCGAATATTCAAAGAACAGAAATTCTCCAATGGTGCAATCCAGAATGTTTTGGAAGCAACCAAATGAGGTAATGACAAGAGAGAAATTAATAAAAAGAAGAGGTTTAGGGTCTTCAACCTCTACAGCTAGGGATGGAGACTCTTGCCATTTTCCTAATTAGCAGTTTCCACTTTCTGGGGTTTGTTTGGTTGCTGAGAGAGAGAGAGAGAGAGAGGTATGGCAAATTGAACTGATTAATCAACCCAACAAACACAAGTGGGTCCTCAAGTTGGATTGCCATTTTCTTCTCTAATCTATGTGCAAGTTGGTCCTGGGAAGAAGAGGAATGAAGGATGGCGGAAAAGCTTTTTAATTTTGCTTCTAGTTCCTCTACATGTGAAAGTAATTATCTTCCCAAGAATCTAATTTCTCAGCAACCAAACACAATCCAGAAGAGAGAAGTGAAGCAAAAGGTATTTAGACCACAAAAATTCCCCCGGCTTCCTTTCCTTCCTCTTAAAAATCTTTTTCTCAGATACCAACCAAAACCCAGAAGGGAAAAGACGTAGACCACAGATATAAAGATGATGACATCTTTTATTCTTGTCGTTAATTCCCATCTTCCATAAACATGAACCAAGATAACAAGAAACAAATGTAATTGTAATCACATCTAGAAGAACAGAAAAACGGAGGAGGTACCAGCAAAAATGAGCTCTGGGCACAGAATTGCCAGCTGAGAATTCGAGGGAGATGAGAACTAGAACACACAGATCATCAAAACCCCATATCCAGAATTTACTGAGAGAGAAAGAGAGAGAGTTACGTACAAGATAAACAGCAGAAGCCAGAAGCTTTAGGGGTAAAACTAACTAGCTATCGTAGCTAGCTGGAAATGGATAAAGCTCTCATCCTTTGTTCCTATATAGAGCGAGACAACTCCTCTTTCTCTTCCCCCAAAAGGAGTAAAAACCAGCCAAGATCGAGACTTTTTCACAGTGGTGTCGGATTGTAACTATTTAACTCGATACCCAGCTGGGATTTATGGTTTTAAAAGTCTGGAAAATGGGAGAGAACAAACGGAAGGGGAAAAGGGTAACTTTCTCTCCCTCCTCTGTTTTTTTCCTTTTCTCTCTTCCTCTTTTGCTGCAATCTGCCTCTCTGTTTCAATCGCCAGAGTTTCTCTTCTTTTTCTATTTATATGATGGTGATGGTGATATAATCGCCCCGCCCACACGGATTTCTGTACGCCACTACTTACGACTAGTATTTAGGACCTAACAACACAACGGCTTACTATATAAGGGAAATTTTCAAATTTAACTCTGGGTTTTTGGTTGGGTTTAGGTTTTTCTTCTACTTTCTTTCTTCTTTTGACGCAGTTTCTACTTTCTAGGACGGTGTCTCTGTCTATTCACAGTTCACTGGTGCTGACGTATGTATATGTGTGTATGTATGGGATGAAAAGCTTTGGGTTGGGGCAGGTCAACTATGGTTGTTTGATCCTTTTCAGCTGGACTATGACATGCAGAGCAAGTTGCGGGTGATTAACAAGATGACCGAACACATTGAACCATAGTCTTGATAGAGTTACGATAGTTACACCTTAGAGAGATCGAATATACTACTTTAGTCTAGGTCATAAGTTTACGAGTCATTAAGAACAAAAACATAACATGGTTATAAGTTAGAAGTTAAGATGAAAGTCCGATCGCCCCGAAAGGAGTTCAATTTGATTTTGAGGTAGTTGCTTTAAACTTTCTTGTTATATTTACGCTTTATCTTAGAGTGAGTGATATTGACCTTAGTATACGAATGTTTATGTGACTTTATATCTAGTTGCCTTCTAGCAATGCAGACGTCATGTTAAAAGTGTGATTAACGATTGAATTTTTATTGAGTGATGATCATGTTATTATTATACGGAGTTTGACAAGGAAACCTAGAAGAGGTCTTATCTTGGTATTCAAATGGGAGAATATTGGTGGTTGGAGAACACTTCAATATATGTATACCATCATCCATTTAAAACTTGAAAAATGATATAATGCATGTTTGTCATTAAATGTAACAACATATTTTGGACCCCATAATCATAAATAAAAAGAAAATAAATGTAATAAGTACTAAGGAACATATGTTCCCATCCCATCCCATCCCATCTAATTTATTTTATGTAATAAATAAATAAAATGCCAATAAGGAAGTAGAGAAAATGAATTTTGTAACATATTTTCGGATATAATTTTGATCTTCTGACATCTATATATATCCTGATACTTCTCCAAGGATCTTGCCACGTTGAACATGTGCAACTGTTCATTGCTATATATTTTTGAACCAATTGAAGGTTGATTCAAACCAAAACACAACCCATATGCCCTTGTCTTGTCTTTTGAAATATATATTTTTGTTTCCTTTTCTAAAAAAATGCTAAAATATATATATATATGATAATTGCTGTCCTAAATGATGGGATTTTGGCAAGGAGAGACTGGCCTTATCTCTATTATGGGAAAGGAGAGAAAACAATTAGTATTGTTTTGTAAAGATATATTAATTGAATATGAAATGATGATATCTCTACCAAAAAAAGGAAAAATTGATGATAAGCATGGTAGGGTTAGTAGACAATTAGAAGATGTCTACTCAAACAATTACCATTAAATCAAAAGTGTAGTAATCTTGATCGATCATACACCAATGCATCGAAAATTTCTAAATAATATTACAATTCATTCATCTACCGGTTAGAATTTAATAACGAGTGATTCGTTTGTGTCGGGATAATTAAACAAAAAAACTCCTAAAACATTTCATCTAAAGCAATAGCATATTTTTAAGCTAACAACTCCAATGGTTACCAAAGTATTAATGAAACATATCATCTACGAATATAAGACTTAGAATAAGATATCATCTCATCAAACACCAAAGGGCGAGGCTGATTAAGAAGAGGAAGAAATTACGTGGCAGCATAACTATAGTCAGACAGCTTACTTATTAATTATTATCATCTCCATCACTAATAAAATTAGTTTGTTTTGTCAGGAGACTAATTGATATAATAAACAAAAGCAATTTTGTAACATATTGTCGACACTATGGAAAGGAGATATTTTGGGTAACTTAATGATTAATATATTTTGGGTACATCAACCTAAGAAAAAAAGAAAAGAAAAGATTAACAGGGCAATAATATTGTATTATGAAAAAAGATTATCAGCTGGACACATGGCGATAGAATAGCCATACATAGACTCCTTGTTTGCACATTGAGATTTGAATTGCTTAAATAACACCGATTAGGTTTCTTTCTTTGTTTCCCAAGTTTATGAATTGTTATATGTTTTAGTTTATGAAACATTTAGTTCAAATGACAATGCATGAGAGTTTGCATAGTGTTTTAATTACTATGAGTTTGACATTTACTGTTTATTGTTCTAGTAATTCTTTGTCGATGATGGATAGAGATGTATGATCGAATCATCAGCTTTCTGAATTTTTCTGGTATTTATCTAGTTTGAAATATATTTGTCGGGCTTCTCTGTCATTAAGAAAAATAAGTTTAGTAGTCTTCCGCGCGACTACCACACCACCATATTGTGTTGTTAAGAAGTTGGTGATTAATAAAAGTGACATATAATTAGAAAATGTAAGAGGTCGGTGGTGAAAATTGACAGATAAAATTAGAATAATTAAGAAGCCACGTTTGGTGGTGACTGACGGTTGCTGATAGCTGATTTTGGTTTTGTTTTAGCGATGCAAGTTAATGAAGTTTCCTGAAAACGAGATGCAATTTTAATATACAAGAATTGATAGTTTAGGAAAAATGGAGGGACACGGGGTGTGTGAAAACTACAATTATGATTGAAATTGGAAAATATAAAACAGAGAAATGGATCTTTCCTGAAAATGAAGGAGATTTTATTAAATAACTCAATGCATGTCCATCAAAGAAGTAAACTCCATCCATGTATTGTTGTATGTGGGGCGGTAGCATTATCAGTTCGTGATATCAATTCACAATTGTCGAATGTAGTGTGTATGAATTATTTTCGAAATTATTATCTCGCACTTTCAATACTATGAATTTTAAAAGCGATACGCGATGACATCCTGATGTCAATATTAAAAGGATGTTAATTGAAATTATATTAAAATCTAGAATATTCATCATATTCTAGTTTTGAACTTTGAGACTAACAACCAATCAACGGGGGAAAGCAATGGCAAGAAAGGGGAAAGCAAAATGAAGCTTATTATTAAACAAAATACAACTCCCCATGCAAACTATAACTAGCTAGCATCAATGTATATATATTGCCTGCCACCTTTCCCAAAATGGAGAAGAAGGCATCTTAATATAATATTAGAGGGATTTAATCCAGAAGATTAGGCATTTGAAATTAGCTTTAATTAGAAAATAGAGAGAGAGAGAGAGGGTTAGGTGTAAAAGTAGAAGCAGAAAACACCAGAAATGGATGATAGAGTGATGAATTTGATGGTAACACGTATAGAGGGATAGAAAGTGGAAGACAAAGAAATCTAATGAAAGCTAAAGCATACCCTAAAGTGAAGTGAAGTGAGGCGCCGATGATTTCTGGCCACATACGTTTCATTTTGAACATCACATATCATGGAACTCGTGTCAAAGTGAAGTGGCACAAGTTTCTGGTTCCATTGCACACATACTACCACTTACACATTGTGAGCAGTTTATATGTTACGTTGCACAACACGTACAATGGGGTTCCTTCCATATCATGACTGGTTCTGCTTGCTTGTAACGCAAATGCACAGAGAGAGAGAGAGAGAGAGAGAGATATCGGGTAAGATTGAGATCTGTTTCTTCTTCCCTCTTGTTTTGGAAAGGGAACGGTGGTTTTTTCTTAAACATGTGAAGAAAGAAGACAGAAAAATGGATTCATTTCATGGTCGGCCGGATGAGCATTGGAATTGGACCTTCCTTTCTTATTTGTTTGTTGGGGAGGTTAGCCCACTACCAGGAACCAACATTGATGAGTTGATTGTCTGTGTATTGTTGCATATGATTTGATTTCTCTCTCCACCTACTTTGGATTCCAGATTAAGGAAGCTCAATTACCTACTCTTTACCAATTACCCAACATTTGTACTCGTTAATTACATTACAAGGATGGTTTTTGGCTGGAGCTGTTATTAGGGCTTTGTTCTTTATTGTGGTTGGATCATATCAGTTATTTGGTTTGTGTGGTAGACAAAATGTACAGAGATGATACAAAATACGCCGTGTTCACAAATATACTAAGGTGAAATAAATGATGACGATTTTGGTTCGACTTACTTATAAAGTTTGGTGTGTTTCATTCATCTGAACTATGTATAATTTTCACTATCTACTTTATAAGTATGAAATATTTGATTGATATTATTTTAAATGAACAGCTCCCGCATATATTCTTTCGAATTTGTTTTTGGTGCATTATAGCACCCGTGGGCCTTGGTGCCGAGTTGGGCTTAGTCGTTAGGGTATTATTATTAGTTAATTGTCATGTTATTGTGATTATTTAGGGATATTCGTATTAGTTTATTGTGTCTTGTTGAGTAAGTTATTAGTTACCTTGTTAGAGTGGGATAGCGTTAGCTATTAGGTTTTCTTACGTTTTCCTATAAATATGTACATTGTTCTTTGGGTTTCGTCAAGAAATGAATAAGAGTAAAGTAAATTAGAGTAATTTAGCTATCTTTATCACGTTTCATTAGTTTCGTAGAAGAGTTCGAGTTCCATGATACGTGAGATTCCGCCATCACGCGTCAGTTTTACGCATTTCTCTACACAAATTTAATTATGGAAAAATGATTTATATAAACCCACCCTCACATAAAAGTAGAGAAGGGGGCAGTGAGCCGATTGGATGTGTTTTTGTTTCAATCCCCCAACAGTTTTTTTTTTTTTTTTTTTTTTTTTGGCATGTTCATACATTCATCCATCCAAACGGTAGTAGCAGCAGTGTTAGGTTTCATTACTGTGACCCACGGCATTGATTCAACCAAGCTAACCATTATTCTTCCACCATGCAAGGAACGGAACAAAACAGCTACAGATGATCGATGATCTAAATTCTAAACCCTAGCCTAGATAGATAGATTACGACCATGGAAAGGAAAGACTAAAGAGGTAAACTCACTGTTACCCTTTTGATGTCGGCTCTTGGACTCTTGCTGGTGATTGCTATATATGCTACCTATATATACCGACACGTTACTGAATAGGCCACACTTTGAAACCCTAATTCAATGAAAGAAACAGCTAGGTTATATTATACATGTGGACTCGCCTTTGAACGGAACTTTTCAATGCATCGCTGGACTTGTTTGCCTTTTTCATCGTCCATCAGTCAGTGTCCCATTACTTTCAGGTTGCCGTGTGGAAACAGGGGACTCCCAAAATGAAATGGAGGGGAAAGTTCATCAATTGGAAGCATATCCAGATTCAATGATGTACAGCAATGGTATATATTATATATATAAGTACAACCTTTCATTCCCATTCCCACATCTTGCCAACACTAATCTCTCTATTGTGAGCAAATTATCTTTGATGAAAGCCCTTTACAATATAGTAACTAAGTTAGTTACGTGCATGGATGGATCGGAGTTGATTCGAGCAGAGACAAAAAAAAAAAAAAAAAAACAAATGAGAGATGCTCTCTCCTCTCTCATCGAAGCTTGCTGGCGGTTGCCCTCCGACTGATTCTTGACCAATGTCGATTCGCCAGCCAAATTCTCTCCTTCATCTTTCAAAGGATGATTGCAGTATCCTTGGTTAATCGGGGGGTGAAGGATTGTCGGTGGAATCTGTTTCCAAGGGCAAAGACTGCTGTTCGACTTGGGTCGGTCCCCCAGTCTTCGGCCGAGAGCTTGAATCGTAACGGCGGCCGTAATAAGGACCGTCGACAAAATCCAAACCCCTGCAGTTTTCCTGATCATGGGTTCCTTAAACGCAAAATCGAGTCATCCACGCTGATTGGAAATGATTTTGCTGCTCCCCAAAGGAAACGCTTGTGACGAGTGAAAATGAATAACCCGACGTGGCGATTTCAGTTGCCGTCGTCCTTGGAATTAGAGTGCGAGGACGGGGCCTCCCCTGCTCCTCTGCCCCTCCAGGTTAATAACAAGAGAATACCTGGTAACAACTGTGGCACCTCGACCAACCCAGACCTTAGATCCCGATATGGGGCGAGGTCTCTAAACCAACTTGGTAAGAAGGAAATGCCCGGACAAACTCCCTGGATCCGACCGACGACGTTCTGCTGTCGGACGCCAAGGTGGGTTTCAAGAAAATTAGATGCAAACAAAGGCATCTCGTACCCGCCGGACCTCCCACCCGGATCGGAGGGAAAACCTCCCGACCAGAATGATGTAGTGGCAAGTCCCAGGTACCCCCGTTGCTCGGGCCGGCGGCGTTCTGCAGACCGACGCCGATGGGGTGTTTTTTGAAAAAACTAGATCCCCCGAACAAACTGAAAATCAGGGGGAATATCCAATCCCGAATTTTGCGCCCGGGCCGAACTGATTTCCTGGTTATACCTGCCCTTTGACGGTTTGGGAAATCTGGTAGTCCCCATCCAAAATCTCCTAGTATCCTTCTCTCAGTAGTACAGCAACTGTCACGAGTCTCTTATGGCTCTGCCTCCCCTTTAAATTGCAATCTTTTCCCAACGAAATTCAATCAAATTCTACGAGGAAAGCGATTGGAGAGGCAACGTAGGTCAGCCCAACCACGACAGCAAGACAACTACTCTGGTACGTGGGAGAATTCCCTCACGGGGACATCTCTGCTGATCTGGTGGAGGCGAACCCCTGTCTGCAGGGTCCCTTTTGTTGTTTCTTGCTTCCCCTGGTCAGTTCTTGAGCACCTTGATTCTGATATGAAAAGGAATAATGTTGGTAATGCGCTGGTTTTGCAGAAACACAAAATGGCAAATATCTCCAGTGATCAAGTCGTCCACTTCTCTCTTGATGAAGTCCAGTCGGACAGATTCTGCAACGCCAGGACTCTCATTGGGAGCTTGTTTACTGATAGCCGAGTCTCGGCTGATGAGTTGCTCGAATCAATCAACAAGCCATGGCAAGGGCAAGGCCGAATCAGAGTGAGGCTGCTTACTCACAAGCTCTTTGAGTTTGTACTCCCCAATGAAGCGGTCAAACAATGGGTTCTCAAGCAATCACCCTGGGTGATTTCGGATAAAATCCTACACCTCCGACCTTGGATTCCCAACATCACACAACGCACCTTCGACGAGCTTGCTATTGCTCCGTTCCGGGTCCAGCTGTGGGATGTCCAGGAGGAGTGCTGTACTCAACGATTTGGACGGACTGTGGCGAATGCTACACTCGGTCGGGTATTGGAGGCAGGGGTGTACTCGTGCACAGACTCGGGGCATCGGTTTATTAAAATCAAAGCCCTCATAGACTTCTCCAAACCCCTTCGCTCCCAAGTTATGGCTACTAATGCAGAAACAGGCGAGTTCTGGATTCGGCTTAAGTACGAATACCTCCCCAGCTTCTGTTACAGATGCGGCCGGGTTGGACACTTACGCCAAGACTGCTCATTCGATCCCCCCACCCGGCAAGAAAGGTTTGGCCACCACATGTCCACCAAAAAATTAGGGAGGAGGGTTTTCGAAGAGGAGGATGGTGTGTCAGCATTCCATGGCAATCCCAAATCGGTGTGGGTTAATACTGCCGCTCAAACCCGTCGGGGTACGCCGTCTAGGATGCCTCTGCCTTCGGCGGACTTGAATAGGAGGGAGGCTGATACTGGGCTGCGACCTGTGAGTGAAGAAAAACCGTTGTGGATGGGTACTTCGACCCAACCTTTCATGACGACGGAAGCACGGAATCGAGTGGGGAGGAAACCAATTCGAGTCCAGATCACAAGATCTCCAAAGATTCGCGTGGGCAGGCAAAATCGTCGAGGCAAGCTTAAGAAGGCGGGTGACCGAGTCCCAACAGAGGTGTGGACTGAGGCTGCGGAGCCGCAATTGAGTGAGGCAATTCGGAATGCAAAGGGTGCTGAAAAGGCAGATGCTGCTGGCGGCTCCCATTCCTCTGTGAGACACCCTGTGTCAAAAATTAAAAAGGGGAGGACTGGGAAGGGAGAGATGTCCCCGCTGAAAGTGCCACGAAAGGCGAAGTCGACTGACCGACAGCTACGGACGAGAAGGGGGGTCACTGCCGTCAACGGCAGCTCAAGTAGTGCCGGGCAGAAGAGGACCGAGATGGTGGCGGCGGAATCGCCAGCTCTGGTGAAGCCCTTGGGTCCCCAACCAAGCGAGGCAGTTCATGAGGAAATGGATTTGGCGGAATCAGATGCTGAGGAGCAAAGTTTTGTGATTCGCCACCGGGAAACGCTGGGAAAGGGCAAATTCAAGCGGCTGGCTGAAAATTCCCGTGTGCGGCAGGTTGTGCAGGCTTTTGAGGATGGGCTCACCATGAGTGATCTCATTAATGGGCCAGGATTGCTATGCCCACTCATTTTGGATGACACGGCTGTGACTAAGGGAGGGCCAAATGAAAATGGGCCTAATGACAAGCCCTTTAACGAGTACGGGTCCAATTTGGGTGACCCTGAGGTGGAGGGTAAGAAACGCCGAATTGATGATATTGATGGAGATATTGCTGAATCTCCATCACCAAAAAAACTGTTTTTGGAAGATAAAGATGAAATGGTAACGGTGGAGGTAGCTAGCTGGGAATGGCCCCATCCGGATAAATGAGGCTTCTTGCCTGGAATGTGAGAGGACTTGGACCAGCCCTCACATTTCAAACTGCCGTTGGTTTAATTCATTCCAATAAACCGGATCTCGCGTTTTTTTCGGAAACACGATCGAGCCGGAGAGTAGTTGCCCGTCGCATGCGGGGCTTAGGTTTTGATAGTCATTGTTGTTTTTTTGTGGATGCGATTGATGCATCAGGTGGTTTAGTTGTTTCTTGGTCCCCGGAGGTTGATGCCTCGATTTTTTTCCATTCAAATTTTTGTATTTGTGTTCGAATCAATAAAAAGGATTATTCTTATGCGGTGGTTTTTGTTTATATAAGTTGTAATGGGATGACTCGTACTTCCCAATTGAATCAACTGATTGACATTTGTGCGGATATCCATCTTCCCTATGTGCTCATTGGTGACTTTAACGTTACTCTTAATGCGGGGGAAAAAGATGGTGGGCTTCCTTGGAATGCTGCTCACGCCCTGAGCCTTCATGACTTTGTTCAAAATCTGGGTCTGCATGACCCAGGGTTCTTTGGTGATTAGTTTACTTGGACAAATAAGCGGATGGGTACGTCATGCGTTCGAGCTAGATTGGATAGAGCTCTATGCTCCCAGAAATGGGTGGATCTGTTCCCAGACACCCTAGTAAAGCATTTTACGGACCAGGGTTGTGACCATCGAGCTCTTCTTCTCTCTGACAAACCTTATGCCCGTAATAGCCGTCCCCTGTTTTGTTTTGACGCTCGATGGGCGGATAATCCGAAAGTGAGGGCTATGGTGCAATATGTCTGGCAGGAGGAGATCCAAGGCAGTCCGATGTTTCGACTATGGGAGCGCTTAAAGAAACTCCGTCATTTACTGTATGACTGGAGCAGGGCTGGCACTACTAATTCTTTATGGAACATCCGAACCCTCCAAGCTGAAACTTATCGGATTAAATTAGTCCACCCTATAGACTGGGAGGAGGTTCGGCGGCTGGAGAGTGAGTTAAGTAGGCAGTGGGAGGCGGAGGAAGTTTATTGGCAACAGAAATCTTGGGTTCACTGGTTGAAAAAAGGAGATAAGAACACGACTTATTTTCATACGGTTACCAGAGCTCGTAGGAAGCGTAACTATGTGGCGGGCCTGCGGAGTGAGGAAGGTGAATGGGTCACGACGGAGAATGGGAAGGCTAACATTGCCAATGCTTTTTATCAGACCCTGTTTACCTCTGAGGATAGGGTGCCGAATATTTCGGCTAGAGTGGCCTCTCTCCCCATTTCCCACTGTGTTACGCCAGAAATGAATGCTGGCCTCACAGTAGAAGTTCTCCCCCAGGAAGTTCGGGATACGGTGTTCTCAATGGGCTCTAAACAAGCTCCAGGTTCTGATGGTTTCATTGGGAAATTTTTCAAAGCCTTTTGGGACATTGTGGGGAATTCAGTAGTTGAGGCAGTAACCTCTTTCTTTGTGACAAGTAAACTGCTCCGGAGCTTTAACCATACCTGGCTCACTCTGATCACTAAGGTGGATAATGTTGAGTTTATGAGGCAGTTACGTCCTATCAGCTTATGCCAATTTGTGTACAAAATTATTAACAAAATCATGGCGGGGCGTTTGGCTGCCATTCTGCCTCAAATCATTTCTGAGGGTCAAAATGCCTTCATTCGGGATCGCCAAATAGTGGAAAATATCCTTCTCGGACATGAATTGATGCATTACTTGAAAATCAAAACGCGAGGTAAGAAAGGGTTCATGGCTCTAAAGGTTGACATGGAAAAGGCCTATGATAGAGTCGAATGGCCATTTCTTCTTGCGGTTTTGGACAAGATGGGTTTCAATTCGGTTTGGAAAGGATGGATCCAGGAATGTCTCCATTCCACCTCGTTCTCGGTTCTGATGAATGGTACCCCCTCTGGCTATTTCGCCCCCTCCCGGGGACTAAGGCAAGGGGACCCCTTATCTCCTTTACTGTTTGTTATATGCATAGAAGGGTTTGCGGCGCTCTTGCGTAAGGCCATTTCGGAGAAGAAATTGGAAGGGATTAAGGTGGCTCCTCGTGCTCCCAGGATCTCTTATTTATTCTTTGCTGATGATTCTTATCTATTCATGCGTGGCTCGCTCCAGGAATGTGAGAATTTTCCTGAATGAATATGAGGAACTCAGTGGTCAAAAGGTTAATTTGGCAAAATCAGCAGTGTGCTTTAGTAAAAATATTCGTTTGCCGGGTCAAGAGTTTTTGGCTCAGATTCTGGGGGTGGGTGCGGTGGGAGTACATGACAAGTATCTGGGCCTCCCTACGCTCTTCTCCCGATGAAAAATGGATACCTTCCGGTACTTGGAAGAAAAACTGCTTGAGCGGCTTCAGGGATGGAAGCAGCGGACGTTGTCTTGGGCAGCTAAGGAGACTCTGATTAAGTCAATAGCTTTAGCGCTTCCCTTACATGTTATGTCCTGCTTCAAGCTTCCCCTGTCTCTTTTCTGGCTCCTTGACAAGCATGTGGCTCGCTTCTGGTGGGGGGCTGTTGAGGGGAAGTCATGGATCAGGTGGATATCCTGGCGGAATATGTGCAAAAGTAAGCATGATGGGGGGATGGGGTTCCGTCACTTTGAACAATTCAATCAAGCTTTGTTGGCAAAGATTGGTTGGCAAATTCTTAATGAACCTCATTTCCTAATGGGACATTTCTTAATGCAACTGCGCGTTCACGCCCTTCTTGGGGGTGGCAGAGTGTCTTATATGGGCGATAATTACTGGAGGAGGGACTACGATGGCAGATTGGGGAATGGAGGACGGCGTCTCTGCTGGAGTCCAACTGGGTCCCGCAAACCCATCCTTGGCCCCTCGTTTCCAACCCTCGAGTATTGCCGGAAGGGGGGGACCCTAAGGTGGAGGAGGTCATATGTCCGGGCGAAGGGCGTTGGAATGACGCCAAGCTAAGCCAGTGGTTTGACCCGGCTACTTGCGCGGCAATTAAAGCTATTCCCCTTCCCAGGCAAAGCGTGGAGGATCGCCTCATTTGGCATTACTCTCCTGATGGGAGTTTTACTGTAAAATCCGCCTATCACCTTGCGGTTAATCTTGATAAGAAACGAGGTCGTTGGCGGTCTTTGGTGAGTTGGATGGATAAGGCCAGTTGGATTCGACTTTGGGAGGCAAACGTTCCGCCTAAGCTCAAAGTCTTCATCTGGCAGGTTTTCCATCGCATCCTCCCTACTACAGAGGCCTTGCGGGAAAAGGAGATTCCGGTGCTCCCTCGTTGCCCAGTTTGCTGGGCAGAGTCAGAAACGATGGAACATTTATTTTTAGACTGCCCAGTGGCGAGAGCTTTGTGGGAGTATTCGGGATTGGATTCTCTGGGTGAAGGGTTGTCGAGGCATACTTTCCCACTGTTTCTCAAAAATTTACTCTCTCGGGTGAGTGAACCTTCTATGCTCATGGCAGTGGTAGCCGTCCTCTGGAGGATCTAGCGTTCCAGAAATTGGGTTGTTTTCGAAGGGAAGCAGTTTGGGGTCCTTGTGCTCCTGCGTCAATTCCATCAGCAAGTGGAGGAGTGGATCTGTTTGCCAGTTGAGCCAGTTCCCCGGTCCTCGCTTCCCGTACCCCGGATTTCCAGGTCTGTTCAGGCTGGCTCAGTGGTGTGTCAGTGGGATGGGGCTACTAGTCATGGGAAGCATTCGGCTGGAGGATTTGTAATTTTCAATTCGGCTAGGGAGGTCCTCTTTGTACAAGGAATCCAATTCCCTGGTGTGAAGGACCCTGCGGTGGTGGAGTTACTAGCCCTGAGAGAGGCGCTCTTGGGATGCTTAGGGCACGGGGTCGAGGATGTGAGGTTTGAAGGAGACTCGAAGACTGTCATTGACAAAATCAACCAGGCGGACTCCAGGGATAGCCGGATGGGTGATGTGCTTGAAGAAGTTATTCATTATTTTGCAGCTCATCCTGGGTTTTCGATTAGATTTGTAGGTCGGCGTAACAATAGGGTAGCCCATTTAGTGGCTCGAAAGGCCCTCACATTGTATCCGGCTACGAGTCGGTTCTTTGACTTTCAGGCCTGGCTTAATTCCAGGATGTAACTCTTATCTCTTATCAATCTACATGATTATCTTTTGTCAAAAAAAAATCTTTGATGAAGATAATCCATTATCTCACTTGACTAAGGAATTGTTGGGATTTTGAATGGTGTGAATGAGAATGAAAGGGGAAAAACATCAAGAGAACCTCTTGAAGGACTATATCGGTAAGATGTGAGAATGTGTGGTCTCGAATTCGGTCGATTTGTAAATATGTTGGTAATCGGTTAGAATGGTTTGTGTAACCAGCTCGAAGCAAACCGAGTTGAATCTAACCAATCCAATGTGGTAATTGGAATAAACCAATCGGTCCAACCACCCTAGGTCAAACTTATACAATGTTTGACAAATTTTAATTTTTAAACAAACCATTGCAATTGTAGGGGGTGTAACCACCCACCCGAAGATTCGCCTCTCTTCGCGCGCACACTTTCGTTTTCTATAAATAGCACCCAACTCTTCAAGTTTTGATATAATATTTTTTTTCCTATATCGAACCTCTGCCAAAATTCAAATTGATTTTTCTACATTCTTTCCAAAAGAAAATTCGAGTCAAGTATGCTTCTCACCGATTCGTTGTTTCATGGGGTTTGAGGTAACGCCAAAAAATGTATGTTATCTCTACCCTAAGAGGAATCATTTGGTAACCTTTTGTGCTAGAGGGGAATAAGATTTCTTAAGAAGAGCCAGTGCATTTTGTCAGGTAATACGATTGTATATGTGTTTGCATGATTTCATGATCTTATATGAGACTTATGTTGATTTTCACGATCTTGTGCGTTACTTGTAAAAAGAAATGTAGCACACGTGTAATGATTTAATTGAAGTTGCTAGGCATTTATGATAGTTGGATGATACCTCTCTAATTATGTAGGACAAATGGAGTTGACCACCGTCTACACAATGACCTTCATTGTCAAAGACTCATGGTGAACAACTTAGGTACATGGCTTTGATATTTTGGTAAAACCCCATAGCTGTGCCTGTGCGCCCAATCCATGCTTATAGATGGAAAGTGGGTGGTGGCGAGGCACGAGGATAATGGATTTCCATGGAGCGGGGCCCTTTCGAGGACCGGCGGGAGACTTTTAGCGACCACCAACAATACACCATGCGGGGCGGTGCACCGGGACAGCGACGGCGAGAGAATGCGTCAAAGTTACTGTGTTTGTTAGTGAGTGAGTGGCATGGGTTTGTCTTCTTTAGGGATGGCAATTTCGACATGACGCGTTTTACCCGACCTGTTTAATCTGCTTTGAGGCGGGCATGGGTACCTCTCATCAACCTAACCTGTCCCGACCCACCTCATTATTGACCCGTTCTTGTCTAAATTACATATAATCTTAGTAAAATTATTTATGATTTTCCTCTTATTATCTCATATTGTAACTATAATAAACTTGTAAATAAGTGAAAACCTTAATTTCTCCAATAATTTAACTACATTTCATAATATTATGGTTTCTTTCTTGGCCTTTTAATGAAAATAACGAATATTTCTAATATTTTTCACATAAATTAGATACCCATTGAGTCGGCCTGCCCCGACCCACGCCTCATAACAAATTATCCGACCTGTCACAAAGCGGGTATGGATATCGAGATACCCGCTCCGGACCCTGCCTATTACCATTCCTACTCTTCTTGTTAGGACTTTGGACGGGGATGGAGTCGGGTCGGGTCACAAGAGTCCTCCCACAAAAGTCATCTCGACTTTATAAAACCAATCATGATCGTCATGATACAAGAATCTAGAGAGAGAGAGAGAGCACGGCAAATTATAAAGGAGAGGGGAGAAATCAACATTTTTCTTGATGGTATCTTATCGGGTTCTTTCCTTTTAAACATGTTGGATTTCGGGTTGATGATTCCACAAGTTTGTAAGATTTGGAAGGATAAACGTTTAAGTTTTACTTTCTCTTTACGTAAATGGAACTATAATTAGAAATGAGTGTGGAAAAACATGTTCTAGGCAAATTACAATATCTTACAAATCAACTCATGAGGATTGATTAAGTAGTAGAGTGATCAGTTAACTTTATAGGCTAGAATAGAGGAATGAGAATGTGACTATTCAGGATTGATTTCAAGTACCTTAATAATAATATATGTAGATGTCTCAGATTCTTAAGTTAGATCGGGTACCGGTGATCGAGAAATGAATACCTACGCGAGCAACCTTTTTTTAGCATGGAGCTCAATAAAAGTCGATTCTGAAATCCAAAATACTTTTTGAAAGAAAATAAAAATTGTAAACATGACTATACCGATCGGTCGAATGGAAAATATCGGGTAACGATTCCAAATCAACCGATGATTCGGCAGTAAATTACGATTGAAACAAATTAAACTACGATTTTAGTACAAAATACATTCCTATCGACTTTTCCCCGAATAATCATTGATATAGTTCGAGTACCCTTTGTGTGAGGAATAATTCGCCTACAAAACTTCACTAAAGTAATCATAGCCGGCTTTATTAGGCCTTAGTGATGTTATAAAGCCATCCTATTGGTTGAGGTGTGGGTGGCGGTGGGGGGTCAACAAATTGAATGATTGATTGTAACACTTAGTAGACGAATATTTAGGGGTAACTACTACTAATTACAATCCAAACTTTATACACTAAATTGCAATGATAATTATGTTTATATGAGGACAACGGTATCTTTCGAAAACTATTGCATTTTGATTTGGTGGGTCATCATAAAATATATATATATCAAGAAGAGGTAATCATAGGGTTTAGATGATGAAGTGTGCATAATGTTGTTTATGATTTTCCATTCCTCTTTCTTCTTTCCTTTACGAAAGAAGAAAGCTCGCTACAAAATTTGTTAATGGACTTTAGTGTCTTATCCTTCTCGCAACTCAAATTGAGACCACAAATTCACAAAGGTCGTAGGATCAATTAAATTCGTTTATATTCACTCATAACAACTCATTTATTGTGTCATCGTTGATGTCTAATGAGAAAGTATGAGTTGTGAGAGACAATAACGATGTTGAACAAATATTTGATAGGTGTGACTAGAAAATTGCGCAAATTAAATACCTATCCAATATATCTTCTAAGACTTAACAATTTCACACAACAACAATATTCGTCTTATTTCTCCACCGAAATTCCAAAACTTTGAATTCCTCTTAACCCGCAACTTGTACACTAGTGTACTTTAACATTTACCGACCAACCTCGTAGGTTTCAAGTTACGGACATTGAAAAAATATTTTCATAGTTCCTTCTTAATTTCATTAGTATCAATTTGATCGAATGATTGTGAGCCCGGATTTTAAAAAGGTGAACAAATAACGTTCGCCTATATAATCTATGTAAATTAAATATCCCAAAACATTTCCCCCCTATAGTTTGATGCAGTAAGGCTAGTATATCTTGGTTAAAAACCCAGTCAAGCAGAACACATAGCGAAGCACTAAAGAACAATTTGCGAGCAGCCAGAGAAATTAAAACCCTAGACAATGTTCCAAACTACAAAGGACCATAAAATATGGATCTAATTCTAATCTTGTTTAATAGGGGGTTCAACCTGAGCCAACAGGAGAAACTGTAGAGTAAGGTTCCTTTCGTCGCTTTCTTCCACGGGTAACACAAACTGCTAGAAGCTAGACATAGAGTCAAGGCACCCAATTCTCAGCTTGTCTTGTATCTAAAAAAGACGTCAGATGCCAATATCCATATAACTATACAGCGATTAATAAGACAAGACCACCAACAGGCTAATCTTTTTATCTTCAGTCTTTCCCATGATGATTCTCTTGTTCTAATAGTGTTAGCAATTACCATGTTATAGGTTAGACGACAAGTAAAGCCTAGGATATGTCATTGGAGATAAGAGAGCGACGCTACTGAGAAGGGTTTTCCACATTCATCGCTAAAGTCTATGCTAGAAAATTGCAAAAAGGTGAAGGGGTTTTTCTACAATCGGGTAGGGCAACAGGTTAAAGACAAGTAGATAACGATACACATTTTGAGAAGCCGTTTGGTGGTGTACCTTTCTCTGGCCAGATACCCTTATGAGAACTTTCGATTCGGGTTTGAGTCACGATGTTCAAGCCCTGATGTGGTCAGCTTGGAACTGCCTCAGTAACTGCAGAGATTGATGGTAGAGGTTAAGGTCAATTCCATCGACATTCCTTCCAACCCTTGCCTGCAGAACTGCCTGATAAAAACAGAGACAATACCAAATGAACTCATATGACTTATATCAAGACGTTTCGAATAGGATTGTTTCATCCAGCCTTACCTCGTTATCAGGATGTATGAGGAGTTCGCCAATGAACTGGAAGATCGAGCCGGTTCGAAAGCTCAGATCCCTAAGATGCTGGGTGTCAATCTTGAGTTTGGAATCACCATCCACAACTGTAGCTATAGCTGTCTCCACGCTATATTCTTGTATCCTAAGAAGGATGAAATGGTGGACCTTTTTTTTAGGATACTCAATCATTACCTGGTTATAATAAACAACCAAGGCCCTTACAGCTATAGATAGTTGGAGAAGAATCAAAACTTAATTATGATTATTGATTGAACTGCTCCTAATCATTAGCACACCAATAGCATAACACAGGAAATCTAGTGAGAACTTATTGTTTACATAATGTCCAAAGTCAACTCCAAGGTAAAAGGTGCATGATTAATATGGTTTCCTCAGAACGATCAGCACCTGAATGACAATAACGAGTACTACCCATTACATCACACAACCTCGACCAATGGTCTAAAAAGTTACTTTTGTTCAGACTCCATAGCATAGATCATCTGAAATGAAAGAGGAATTGGCAGTGTTCTTATACATGCATGGCAGACGACGCGATGCAATGTGCATTGCCCAACTATTTGAACTCGCACCGAAATGGAGTCGCTTAAGATAAGTATCCAAAACCATGTGCAACTATAGCTAATATGTTATGCAGGACAGAACGGATTCAAATCACTTAAACATGATTTCCCTTATGATTTGATAATCCGGTAAGACCTTATGCTCCAGACCCCTAATTTCATCTGACATCAAGTCAGATCCGATCTGCAGCGATGCAATAGCCATGAATGAATCCCAGTTCTAGCACACAAGCAAACTCAGCCAAGGTCAAGAATGTTCCAATGCCGCGATGAATTTACCTCCCATACATGATACAGCCAAAGTAGCTATCTCCTAATACAGTCACATTCTAACTACATAACCGCATCAGCTCCAGAAGAAAGAAAGAAAGAAAAAACCCTAATCTGCAACGTCCCATGAAAACAAATTAAACCAAGAGGATTGTAATCGAGCATAATCAATAGCTGAAAAAACAATCACAGCCACTAAACAGCTTCCCATCCTTACACTTCCCTAGTCAATCTTAGCAACAAGGCGAAAACCATTTCCCTAATTCGATTTCACAAACTACCATCGCAAATCCAAAATGAAGCAAGCAAACAAATGGCGCCGGGAAGTAACTTACTTTCCAGTGACTCTAAGCGAAGCTCCTTCCTTAAAGAGCGGTGATTCGGGGCGCAACTCGGCCAGAGTCACCGGCGTTCCAGATTGGATCCCAGCCATCGCCGCCTCACCAGCAGATTCTTTCGCGAACTGCATCTCGGTACCAAGGCAAGGTTGTTAAGAAAAGAAATCCAAAAATCGTGGTTCAAGCGGAACGAACTTGGATTCGAAAGGATCAACCTGAAGGCGAATGGTCGGGCGCTAGCTCAACTTTCCGGCGCCGCTTCGATAAGCTTTCTCTTCTCTCTGCTATTAAGGCGGTGGCGCTAAATTAGCTTCAAACAAACTTCCCGAGAATTTGAATATTTGTCAATAGTTGTGACGCGGGCGGGATTGAATTCAATTGGGCCGAGATGTATCCAAAATATTTAAGGCCTTTCTGAATGACCCAGCAAAAATCTGGCCTAAAATGAATAGAAATACCAGGGCCCAGGCGGTTGTTTGAAACCAGGATATTATAAAGCCTTCTTGCTTGCCTATCTTCACTTGGATGTAGACATGTAGAGCTTGGACAAAAAACTCAGTAATAAAAATTTCATTTCCAATTCTATTTCATTATTCCATGTTTGAAATGGTAAGAAGGTTGGTAAATGAATTTTATTGAACCCAAATATTGGAAATTAGAATTCTTGTCAAAAGTTATAAAAATTAGGTTTATAGAGATGGAATTAGTGGGACCCATTCATATTTATTATTATTTTATACTCCACTATCTTTTTCCTCTATTTCTCTCTTCCTAGTATTTCATTTCTCAAGATAAAAAAAAAATCTACTAACCGCCTGTTTGGATAGACAAAAAACTCAGGAATTGGAGTTTCATTTTCAAATCCAGTTCCATATTTTATGTTTGAAAGGATAAGAAGGTTGAGAAATGAATTTCATTTGGGCTAAGTTTTGCGAATTACAATTCCTATCAAAAGAGATAGGAATTGAGTTTATGAAGATGGAATTAGTGGGTCTCATCCCTATTTATTATTATTTTATTAACCAACTATCACCCTACTCTCTTTCTCTATCATTCATATTTCATTTTCCAAGATAAAACAAATATATTATATTATTAATTATTGTTAAAAGTGCAATTCATTTCTATAGTTATAGGAATTACACCAAACACTAAAATTTGAAATGGAATTCTATAAAAATAGGAAATGGAAATAGAATTCCATTTCCATTTCCATTTCCATTTCTTCCTGAATTGTATCCAAACATGCTGGTAGGCTAGCCTGTATAGTATAAGTACCTTGGAATCTGCAAGTGTGTTGTAGATGAGTAAAGCAAGACCTGGACTGCAAGTTCGTATGCGACCTTGCTCACAGCGATTAGGAGGAAGTTAAGCTAAGACCGGTAAGCATCACTCATGTATATCGGAAAGGGAATAGAGTCACGAACTGGCTCTCGAAGGGCAGTATCGTCTATCCCTAAAGTATACATGAGCTTGCAAACCTACTCCTTGAACTAGCTTCTATTCTTCGAGATGATACTATGAGAATAACCTTTGAGCGGCAGACCGCTCTATCACTCCTCCCCTCTTCCTCCTCCCCTATGCACAAGTAAATTTTTAACATTCTGAAGATTTTCCTGATAAGATATTGTCTGTTTTTAGTTTAGATTTTCACGGATTTTACATTGAGCGAGATGTATATTAAGTTATGAAGGTGATTTTTCATAAGATCACACATTCTTTCATTGCTTCGTAATGAGTACGTTTAACCTCGAAATTCTTACACAAATTCTTCCATTTCACCCAAATCATGTCTTGTCATTTAGAGATCGTTTGGATGTGGAAATGTAATGCAGTAATTGGACCCAATTACTACATAATGCAGTAATTGGGTTAAAAATCCATGTTTGGGGGAGCAAAAATGGTATGGAAATCGAACCATGGAAATTGGCTTCAATTACCACATTCATGGTAATTGAGAATACTACACCTCCCCAAGTAATTTGACATTACCACGTTTTCTTACTTCTTTTTTCAAATTCCACACCATCAATTTCCACAAAACTAAACTCTATCCAAACGTAAAAAAAATTTCAATTTCCACAAGTCAATTCCTTGGTTTTGTAAAACATGGAAATTCAGACAAATTTCAACGTTTTAAAATTTCCACATCCAAACGACCCTTAATGTCGATTTGTACAAAACAAGTCGAATTATCATCCTAACTACGTACACAAAGGTAGCTGAATTTAGGTAAATACGTATACTGATTATTTTGGCTATACAATTTTTTTTTTTTCATTGGATTTGGAAAGAAGTGTCAAACATAAGAATAATTGGTCCGTTGAACCAACGTATGGAACGAACAAACATCTCATGTGGAGGAACAAAGTGCCCCCCCCCCCCCCTCCTTTTTTTTAATGATTGTCCATTGTTGTTTTCTTGAGCACGAAATAGAATTATTCCAGAACCCTTTTCTAAACCCATTTTTTCTCCAGCAAATGACTTTTTTTTGTCACATTGTACCCAAATGTTATTTGTAAAAAAAAAAAATCCAAATGTTACCGGAAAAATTAGTGAAATGATATCTAATGGCGGCAATTCTGCAGTGCCGTCAGAATTTTCTGCCCGGTTCAAATAAATTGGTTGGGTTTGTAATCAATGGGTGGGTCTAGTTTAACTAATAAATTAATAAAACCAGAAAAAAGTTATAAAAAAAAGAGAGGCAAGCAATGGGTCTCTTCCGCTTCCACTCTTTTATTCTTTTCTCCGAACTTTCGCAGTGGAGTTCCTCCGTCAAAGTCTCACCAGCATGCAATCCACCACTATCATCGATGCTGTCGCCGGTCGACCATCACCACCAAAATCTCGAACCTCTCATAAATTGAAATAACTACCTTCATCCGCCTGTCGAAACCGTCCCGTCCGGGGGTCCGTATGTCGTCGCGTCGGCTTTTTTGGGAGTCGCCATCGATCTTACTTGGAGTGGATCGAACACTCTTCGGTCGGCTCTAACCTTAGGTCAGAACCGGGGCTTGGTCTGCGAATTAAAGATATAGAGATCTAGGTTCGGGAGTACGGTTACGCGTTGGGAAGTTAAGCAACACCCCCACAACGCCCTGAATCGGTACTACTTAAGTCGATAAGTTTCATACGAATTGGGTGTATTTTTAGTAATATTTTTAAAATTTTAGGGTCCCACTGGACCGTTTAATGATTTTATCGTATTAGTTTATTATTAGGTATTTTAGGTATTTTTAGGGCTTTACCAGACCACTAAAGAAATTAAATTGTATTAATTGTAATTTAATTATACGCCCGGTGACGTAAAAATGAAAAATGGAATTAATTGGTTGGTTGGACTCGAACGTTATCGGTTGCCTACGTACCCGTTAGACGGGATTAAAGTCCACGTAGTTCGTTAGGACTTTGATAATTTAATTGTAGTTTTACCACGTTCCACTGAACGTAATTCTCGTAATAGAATTTTATTGTTAAAATTTAGATTGACTATTATTAGAATTTTAATTATTAGGATGTATCTTGGTGTATTAGAAAAAGAAATGAGACAAACTTAATCCGCATTTCACATTTCGTATTAAGGATTCTAAAAGAAATAAAACTGAATGGGATGACTATATTAATGCATTACGGGCCGGTATCCCAATTGGCTGAAACGCCAGACCAGGCTCGTGTTTGACCCGGAGGTCGTGGGTTCGAAACGCGCCGGTGGAGAACTTTTTTTATTTCTCGTTTTGATGTAGAGAAGGGGGAAGGGCATTCTAGTAATTTCACGAAAACGCGGTGGCAGGGCCGCGTAAATAGAAGGAAACCCTAGGGTCATTTTGGTCATTTTAAAACTTGAGGTATATATAGTCTCTTACAGCACAAAATCAGACCCTATACTATTTGACCTAGCGGCCGCTGCTCAAACTCTCTCCCTCTTCTCTCGGCCAGAGACCAACAAACCCTAACCCCGATCCAAAACCGCCGCCGCTCTCTTCTTTCGGCCCTCGATATGACGAAGGTTGCTAAAAAATCGAGCGGGAGACCTTCGATCTAGGTAAGATCATTGCATGCAAGTTTGTTTTTTTATTTCTGGGTTTTTGAGCGAGATTCTAACCCTTTTTCTTGTTTTTCTTTCGGAGATCGATCTAAAACCGAGGAGGAGGTCTCGATTTACCTTCTACTAATCTCGATCTACCCTTTCTAGTTGGAACAGAGGTGACGACGAGGAGGTTGTACCCTCAGATAAGCTCCATTTTACATGCATGTCCTTTTTTATTCAATTTAACAAACAAGATTGGGATTTGGCTTGTTTTTTTTTTTTCTTCTTGTTCTTGATTTCGGACTTCGGCTGAGGGAAGGAAGGGAAGGGCGGCGGTCGCCGGCGGCGCGACCAGCGCCAGAGCCGACGACGAGGGTTTTGTTTGGGGTAAGTCCTTTATGGGTTTGCTTTCCTGTTCAATTTTCGTTTACTTCGATTTGGGTTTGTTCTGGTCCTTTATTATTTCTTTTTGCAGCTAAAAATACAAAGGCCAGATCTGGGTAAGGTTCCCTAAACTCTGATTCTCATATGCTAAAGGGGTTTAGCTAAGAAAAAGTGGATGATGGATTGTATGGTTTAGAATTAGCTACATATCTATGGTTTGGAAATATGTTCTGTATATGTTTGACGATCTTTTATTTTTATGCTTGATGGCTTGGTGGATTGTTTTTAGATGTGACTCTCGATATGCTAAAATTTGCCAAGTTTGACGAATATAGATCACAGCCTCTGCCTGTGATTTGCTAAAATATTGACCACTAATCACTGTTTGTGTTTGTGATTTTATTAGATGTATGATTTTTGATTTGATTAAAGAACTGGTAAAAGTTTGTGAATCAGAAATTTATTATGTTTATGGTGTTTTTGTTGGGGGTTTGGATTTGGATCTGGATCTAGATCTTGATCTAAAGAGATCAAAAGTTTATGTATGATAATATTGTGGTTATCGACTTTATAGCAAGAAGGGAAATTAAAACTAGGAAAATTTGGCTATAATAACTGCTTGTAAAATAAAAAGCGGAGTCATGATGTATGCTAAGCAAGTATAGTCAATAAATAACTAATTGCTAACTATAAAGAGCAATAGTAATTAGTGAGCCTTAAATGGAGAGAAGCTGAAATGGATATTAGATGAAAGAAACTAATATGATAGAGACACTAGTAATTAAAAGGATCTGGACAAGTGATTGATCGTAAATGGTTCTACTTGTATTATTATCGAAATAGACGAAAGAGTACAAATCTCTAACCTTGGACCTCAGGATCCTTTGCTTTTGCCTCTGGCTCGCCCACCTCGCTTGTAAAACGAAAATGAAAGGTGTCTGTCTA